ATCATATAATTAATGATTCTATCTAAAACTACTCTAACTATTAACAGGTATTGTAACAACTGCCTTGAACCCCTCCTATCCTCTGTTGATTTTCAGCAAAACCACCTGTAATAGGCCCTTCCACCCAATTTGATCATAAAAAAACATTGCAATATATCCATGAAAATGACGCCACACCCCGATCATGTATGTGAAAAAGGCAAATTGATCCTATAGTCACATATGACGTTTAAACATGAAAATCCTCCGATCATAAAAGATTTCACACAAAAAAATGCACAAAATTTTGGGGCAAAAAACAAAACCCAATGAAAATCACTACAAAAAATTTGAAAAATGAGTAAATGAAAAATAAGTAATCGATATGCGTGTGCACGTGAGAAGCCCCACCTGCAACGCTAATTTATTTGATTGCCTTGAACACACCCAACAGTAACAAATCCCTTCCCAAGTGCATAACACTCTTCATCATGCCTTCGGTCGGTGGAGCAAGCCTTCTGCAATGGGGGTGTTGTTGGCGCAAAAACAAAATAGCTAGCTGCTTTTCTCGTCAGGGATAGACAGCCAAACGAAGGTTATAGGAAATAGTTACTGTAATAGTTAATCTGCTGGAAACAAGATTTAAGGTATACCTATGTAAAATAGCTAAGAAGACTGGTATATTGAGACTCTTGGAGTTGCTTTAAAAGGCTAAATAGAGATAACTAAAGTGTACTACAACCTAATAGGCTAAATAGAGATTGAGAGAGAGAAGAAGATTGAACTGAGCATCCGAGATAAAGACATGATTAGTAGCATAATTGTGTGTAAATAGAAGAAGACATATGTTTTTGGGTTTTCCTAATGAAGTTGTTATGCAAACTCTTTCCTAATCCGAACCCTTCTCCTGTTAGGATTCAAATCACCGCCTCCTTCACTCTATATATATTTACCCACCAGTCCCCTCCGATGGAACAACTACGCCAACTGGGAAGAGTCCCAAAATGCGGATTTCAATCGAGCCCGGTCTGTTTGGGAAAGTGCCTTAGAAGTCGATTACCGTGACCACTCTAGTTGGTTTAAGTACGCCGATTTCGGGATGAAGAATAAATTCATCAATCGTGCTCGGAATGTCTGGGACCGCGCGGTAACGTTGTTGCCTAGGGTTGATCAGTTGTGGTATAAGTACATTCACATGGAAGAAGTACTAGGCAATGTCGCTGGTGCGCGACAGATTTATTAACGGTGGATGAGTTGGGTCCCTGACCAACAAGGTTGGCTTGCGTACATAAACTTCGAGCTTCGCTAGGATGAAATCGAAAGGGCCAGAGCGATATATGAAAGATTTTTGGATGAACACCCGAGAGTGAGTGCTTGGTTGCGGTTCGCCAAGTATTAAATAAAGAATGGGGAGATTGATAGGGCGAGGCAATGAGTAAACTGGCGGATGATGAAGAGGCGGAGCAGTTGTTTGTGGCGTTTACGGAGTTTGAAGAAGGGTGTAAGGAGATTGAGAGGGCAAGGGGTATATATATGTTTGCTTTAGATCATCACATACCCAAGGGGTGTGCTGGGGTTTTATATAGCAAGTTTGTGGCATTTGAGAAGTAGTATGGGGATAGGGAAGGGATAGAGGGTGCTATTGTTGGGAAGAGGAGGGCTCAATATGAGGATGAGGTTTGGAAGAATCCACTACATTATGATTCTTGGTTTGATAATATTAGATTGGAAGAGAGTGTGGGAAATAAAGATAGGATTAGAGGGGTTTACGAGAGACCTATTGCAAATGTTCCTCCAGCTGAGGACAAGTTGTATTGGCAGCGCTATATATACTTGTGGATCAATTATGCTTTGTACGAAGAGCTTGTTGTGAAGGACATGGCGCGGGATTGAGATGTATATAGGAAGTGCCTCAAGCTGATTCCTCATGAGAAATTTTCGTTTGCGAAGATTTGGTTGATGGCTGCCCAGTTTGAGATACGACAGTTAAACGTCAAGGGTGCAAGACTAATCCTTGGCAATGCAATTGGGAAGGCTCCTAAAGGTAAGATATTTAAGAAGTACATTGAGATAGAGATGCAACTTGGTAACATGGATCGTTGTTGAATACTGTATGAAAAATATTTGCAGTGGTCTCCGGAAAACTGCTATGCATGGAGCAAGTATGCAGAGTTGGAGAAATCTTTGTCTGAAACTGAGCGAGCCAGAGCTACTTTTGAACATGCAACTAACCAACCTGCATTGGACATTCCAGAATTATTGTGGAAGGGGTACATTGAGTTTGAGATGTCAGAGAGTGAATTTGAATGAGCAAGAAGGCTTTATGGAAGGCTTCTGGAACGAACAAAACATTTGAATGTCTGGATTAGTTACGCCAAGTTTGAGGCATCTGCAATAGAAGAGAACGGGCAGGGTTCAGACTTGCTAGAAGGTCTTGATCAACAGAAGCNGGGTGTTGTTGGCGCAAAAACAAAATAGCTAGCTGCTTTTCTCGTCAGGGATAGACAGCCAAACGAAGGTTATAGGAAATAGTTACTGTGATAGTTAATCTGCTGGAAACAAGATTTAAGATATTGCAATGGGGGTGTTGTTGGCGCAAAAACAAAATAGCTAGCTGCTTTTCTCGTCAGGGATAGACAGCCAAACGAAGGTTATAGGAAATAGTTACTGTGATAGTTAATCTGCTGGAAACAAGATTTAAGATATTGCAATGGGGGTGTTGTTGGCGCAAAAACAAAATAGCTAGCTGCTTTTCTCGTCAGGGATAGACAGCCAAACGAAGGTTATAGGAAATAGTTACTGTGATAGTTAATCTGCTGGAAACAAGATTTAAGATATTGCAATGGGGGTGTTGTTGGCGCAAAAACAAAATAGCTAGCTGCTTTTCTCGTCAGGGATAGACAGCCAAACGAAGGTTATAGGAAATAGTTACTGTGATAGTTAATCTGCTGGAAACAAGATTTAAGATATTGCAATGGGGGTGTTGTTGGCGCAAAAACAAAATAGCTAGCTGCTTTTCTCGTCAGGGATAGACAGCCAAACGAAGGTTATAGGAAATAGTTACTGTGATAGTTAATCTGCTGGAAACAAGATTTAAGATATTGCAATGGGGGTGTTGTTGGCGCAAAAACAAAATAGCTAGCTGCTTTTCTCATCAGGGATAGACAGCCAAACGAAGGTTATAGGAAATAGTTACTGTGATAGTTAATCTGCTGGAAACAAGATTTAAGATATACCTATGTAAAATAGCTAAGAAGACTGGTTTATTGAGACTCTTGGAGTTGCTTTAAAAGGCTAAATAGAGATAACTAAAGTGTACTGCAACCTAATAGGCTAAATAGAGATTGAGAGAGAGAAGAAGATTGAACTGAGCATCCGAGATAAAGACATGATTAGTAGCATAATTGTGTGTAAATAGAAGAAGACATATGTTTTTGGGTTTTCCTAATGAAGTTGTTATGCAAACTCTTTCCTAATCCGAACCCTTCTCCTGTTAGGATTCAAATCACCGCCTCCTTCACTCTATATATATTTACCCACCAGTCCCCTCCGATGGAACAACTACGCCAACTGGGAAGAGTCCCAAAATGCGGATTTCAATCGAGCCCGGTCTGTTTGGGAAAGTGCCTTAGAAGTCGATTACCGTGACCACTCTAGTTGGTTGAAGTACGCCGATTTCGGGATGAAGAATAAATTCATCAATCGTGCTCGGAATGTCTGGGACCGCGCGGTAACGTTGTTGCCTAGGGTTGATCAGTTGTGGTATAAGTACTTTCACATGGAAGAAGTACTAGGCAATGTCGCTGGTGCGCGACAGATTTATNATTTGGTATTTAAAAAGAGGCAGCAAGTAGAGGCTGACGGTACTCCTGTTGGGTATGAGTGTATAGACCATCTCTTATCTGACGAAAAAACTCAGACTACGAATCTCAAGATTTTGGAAGCTGCATACAATTGGAAGAAGCATAGGACTACTTTTGATCGGATTAGCAAGAAGTGGAAGAAGCAGAGGACTACTTTTGATTTTTAGCGAGCACATTGGCATTTACATTATATCATTGAGTAATCTTGTTCATTTTAATTAAGTGGATTAATATAGATTACAAGTGGGTACGCACTGGATTGATGGATTGAGTATTTATCTTTTTATTAAATAACACAAATAATAAAATTAAATAAATACACTAACATATAAAAAAATACACACACTATTACACCAAAAAATACAAACATATAACTAATACACCAAAATATACAAACACTAATACACTACCCATGACTCACGACCTGTGGGTTGACCCATGACCCGTGGTTTGACCCATAACTCATATGCCGCTGTGACCCATGGATCGATCCATAACCCATATGGGTTGACCCATAGCCCACAATCATCTTGACTCATTATTTGTGTATTTTTTTTATTAAATATATTTTAATTTTTGTGTTAGTATATGTGTGTGTATTTTTAATGTATTAGTGTATATTTTAGTGTGTATATTTTTAGTGTATTAGTTTTTGTGTGTTTTGGTGTATTAGTGTGTGTATTTTGATGTACTACTAATGTGTGTGTGTTTTGATGTACTAATGTGTTTATTAAAAATTTTAATTATTTTATGGATTAATCGGTTTAACCCAACTCGTTATAAACTCAATTCATTATAACTCATTTACTACATGAGTTAAAAATGAATTGAATTTATTTTAACTCAATCTAATTTAACCCAACCCAACCCAACCCATTCATTTGCCCCAGTTCTTATGCAATGCATTTAAATTAAAAAAAAAAAAAAACAAATATGATGTCAATTTTAAATGGTTGCATTAAACACATGTTTTTTAATAAAATGTTATAATTAGTCTTTTTGTTATTTTTGGTTATAATAATGCTATGCTGATCAAATTTTAGGATCAAATCAAGAGCTCAAATAACTTGGCACCTGACTTGGACTTCTTTATNTGCTTTTCTCGTCAGGGATAGACAGCCAAACGAAGGTTATAGGAAATAGTTACTGTGATAGTTAATCTGCTGGAAACAAGATTTAAGATATTGCAATGGGGGTGTTGTTGGCGCAAAAACAAAATAGCTAGCTGCTTTTCTCGTCAGGGATAGACAGCCAAACGAAGGTTATAGGAAATAGTTACTGTGATAGTTAATCTGCTGGAAACAAGATTTAAGATATTGCAATGGGGGTGTTGTTGGCGCAAAAACAAAATAGCTAGCTGCTTTTCTCGTCAGGGATAGACAGCCAAACGAAGGTTATAGGAAATAGTTACTGTGATAGTTAATCTGCTGGAAACAAGATTTAAGATATTGCAATGGGGGTGTTGTTGGCGCAAAAACAAAATAGCTAGCTGCTTTTCTCGTCAGGGATAGACAGCCAAACGAAGGTTATAGGAAATAGTTACTGTGATAGTTAATCTGCTGGAAACAAGATTTAAGATATTGCAATGGGGGTGTTGTTGGCGCAAAAACAAAATAGCTAGCTGCTTTTCTCGTCAGGGATAGACAGCCAAACGAAGGTTATAGGAAATAGTTACTGTAATAGTTAATCTGCTGGAAACAAGATTTAAGGTATACCTATGTAAAATAGCTAAGAAGACTGGTATATTGAGACTCTTGGAGTTGCTTTAAAAGGCTAAATAGAGATAACTAAAGTGTACTACAACCTAATAGGCTAAATAGAGATTGAGAGAGAGAAGAAGATTGAACTGAGCATCCGAGATAAAGACATGATTAGTAGCATAATTGTGTGTAAATAGAAGAAGACATATGTTTTTGGGTTTTCCTAATGAAGTTGTTATGCAAACTCTTTCCTAATCCGAACCCTTCTCCTGTTAGGATTCAAATCACCGCCTCCTTCACTCTATATATATTTACCCACCAGTCCCCTCCGATGGAACAACTACGCCAACTGGGAAGAGTCCCAAAATGCGGATTTCAATCGAGCCCGGTCTGTTTGGGAAAGTGCCTTAGAAGTCGATTACCGTGACCACTCTAGTTGGTTTAAGTACGCCGATTTCGGGATGAAGAATAAATTCATCAATCGTGCTCGGAATGTCTGGGACCGCGCGGTAACGTTGTTGCCTAGGGTTGATCAGTTGTGGTATAAGTACTTTCACATGGAAGAAGTACTAGGCAATGTCGCTGGTGCGCGACAGATTTATTAACGGTGGATGAGTTGGGTCCCTGACCAACAAGGTTGGCTTGCGTACATAAACTTCGAGCTTCGCTAGGATGAAATCGAAAGGGCCAGAGCGATATATGAAAGATTTTTGGATGAACACCCGAGAGTGAGTGCTTGGTTGCGGTTCGCCAAGTATTAAATAAAGAATGGGGAGATTGATAGGGCGAGGCAATGAGTAAACTGGCGGATGATGAAGAGGCGGAGCAGTTGTTTGTGGCGTTTACGGAGTTTGAAGAAGGGTGTAAGGAGATTGAGAGGGCAAGGGGTATATATATGTTTGCTTTAGATCATCACATACCCAAGGGGTGTGCTGGGGTTTTATATAGCAAGTTTGTGGCATTTGAGAAGTAGTATGGGGATAGGGAAGGGATAGAGGGTGCTATTGTTGGGAAGAGGAGGGCTCAATATGAGGATGAGGTTTGGAAGAATCCACTACATTATGATTCTTGGTTTGATAATATTAGATTGGAAGAGAGTGTGGGAAATAAAGATAGGATTAGAGGGGTTTACGAGAGACCTATTGCAAATGTTCCTCCAGCTGAGGACAAGTTGTATTGGCAGCGCTATATATACTTGTGGATCAATTATGCTTTGTACGAAGAGCTTGTTGTGAAGGACATGGCGCGGGATTGAGATGTATATAGGAAGTGCCTCAAGCTGATTCCTCATGAGAAATTTTCGTTTGCGAAGATTTGGTTGATGGCTGCCCAGTTTGAGATACGACAGTTAAACGTCAAGGGTGCAAGACTAATCCTTGGCAATGCAATTGGGAAGGCTCCTAAAGGTAAGATATTTAAGAAGTACATTGAGATAGAGATGCAACTTGGTAACATGGATCGTTGTTGAATACTGTATGAAAAATATTTGCAGTGGTCTCCGGAAAACTGCTATGCATGGAGCAAGTATGCAGAGTTGGAGAAATCTTTGTCTGAAACTGAGCGAGCCAGAGCTACTTTTGAACATGCAACTAACCAACCTGCATTGGACATTCCAGAATTATTGTGGAAGGGGTACATTGAGTTTGAGATGTCAGAGAGTGAATTTGAATGAGCAAGAAGGCTTTATGGAAGGCTTCTGGAACGAACAAAACATTTGAATGTCTGGATTAGTTACGCCTAGTTTGAGGCATCTGCAATAGAAGAGAACGGCCAGGGTTCAGACTTGCTAGAAGGTCTTGATCAACAGAAGCAACAATGCCTTAAGCTTGCAAGAAGGGTATTTGAGAGAGCTCTTAACCACTTTACTGTTGGTTTTTTTTTATGGAGTTTAGTTTGTATATGTGATCCGGATGATGATCCGACTTGAAATAATGTTGTGTGGTTTTTAATAGAAAATTTTCTGAGGCTTAGTCCATGGAGCGAAGGCTTGGGCCGATAGGCCCAAGCCGTAGCGCTCATGGTCAAGCCTCGTGGGGGTTCGGGGGCAACGCCCCCGAGGAAAATTTTTTTGGGCCCGTTATACAGCCCAGTGCGTAGGACATATAAACCCTGTTGTTTTGGTGATTAGTGTTAATCGTGGTTGGTACAGCCGCTCTCTGTATTCAACTCTCTCAATAGTGAAATCCCTGCAGCTTCGTGGACGTAGGCAAATTGCCGAACCACGTAAAATCTGTGTCTTGTTCTTTCTTGTTTCTTATTGCTTTATATTCTTGATTTGTTCTTCGATTGTGTGTGTTTGTTAGTGAATTTAAATCGTGAGAAATCCCAACATTTACAACATCTACTATGCCTGATCTGAAAGAGGAAAAGGCGATGCTTTTGTAAGGGTGGTTAAACATGGAAATCAGATTTGGTGACATTGGTGATGTGAATTTGGTATTTAAAAAGAGGCAGCAAGTAGAGGCTGACGGTACTCCTGTTGGGTATGAGTGTATAGACCATCTCTTATCTGACGAAAAAACTCAGACTACGAATCTCAAGATTTTGGAAGCTGCATACAATTGGAAGAAGCATAGGACTACTTTTGATCGGATTAGCAAGAAGTGGAAGAAGCAGAGGACTACTTTTGATTTTTAGCGAGCACATTGGCATTTACATTATATCATTGAGTAATCTTGTTCATTTTAATTAAGTGGATTAATATAGATTACAAGTGGGTACGCACTGGATTGATGGATTGAGTATTTATCTTTTTATTAAATAACACAAATAATAAAATTAAATAAATACACTAACATATAAAAAAATACACACACTATTACACCAAAAAATACAAACATATAACTAATACACCAAAATATACAAACACTAATACACTACCCATGACTCACGACATGTGGGTTGACCCATGACCCGTGGTTTGACCCCATAACTCATATGCCACCGTGACCCATGGATCGATCCATAACCCATATGGGTTGACCCATAGCCCACAATCATCTTGACTCATTATTTGTGTATTTTTTTTATTAAATATATTTTAATTTTTGTGTTAGTATATGTGTGTGTATTTTTAGTGTATTAGTGTATATTTTAGTGTGTATATTTTTAGTGTATTAGTTTTTGTGTGTTTTGGTGTATTAGTGTGTGTATTTTGATGTACTACTAATGTGTGTGTGTTTTGATGTACTAATGTGTTTATTAAAAATTTTAATTATTTTATGGATTAATCGGTTTAACCCAACTCGTTATAAACTCAATTCATTATAACTCATTTACTACATGAGTTAAAAATGAATTAAATTTATTTTAACTCAATCTAATTTAACCCAACCCAACCCAACCCATTCATTTGCCCTAGTTCTTATGCAATGCATTTAAATTAAAAAAAAAAGAAAAACAAATATGGTGTCAATTTTAAATGGTTGCATTAAACACATGTTTTTTTAATAAAATGTTATAATTAGTCTTTTTGTTATTTTTGGTTATAATAATGTTATGCTGATCAAATTTTAGGATCAAATCAAGAGCTCAAATAACTTGGCACCTGACTTGGACTTCTTTACTTTTTGCTATGTCATTTGGGCCCTAATAAAGACTCGAAATAATCAGATGTCATGTTATTTGGACTCTTAATTTGGTCAACGTAACATTACTCTTTTTGTTAGCACGGGTGATGTACTTTAATTTTTGGCCCTTTTTGTGTTTATTAAAGGAATTAAATGCTATTCTGGAGGCGTGTGAATGCAATGATGCTATTTTAGAGCCGCAAGGCTACATTGGTAATAAAGAAAAAGAGTAATGTTATTTGGATCTAAAAATTTAATCACAATAAATTAGATTAAATTTTTAAATTTGAAAGAAAAAATGATTCAGCTAGTTTGAACTGGCTGAGGATTTAATTACTTAAAAGAGTCTTTGCCTGGACTGGTCGACAAACTAGGTCTCAGAATTGGACTTTTCAACAATTTTGGTAATAAAAAAGAATCCTGGAGCTTATTTATGGCAAATTTTCACATAAATATATGAATTAGAGAGGGTTATAATAAAATTTTAAAAAACATAAGAGGACATTCTCATATCAAAACATTGTTTAATCTTCAATGTTCTTTCCAATAATCAAAACCAAACGTAAAAACTCTCTAAGAATTTTTTTTCCCAATTCAATCAATTTCTCTCCAACCAATCACCTGAATTTTCAAGTCGAGGGTCAAAAACAGTACCAGTCTTCACGTTCTTCATCAACGCAACACCATCTCACATGAAAAAAAAAGGCAAATCCGAGATTCCCGTTATTATGGGTTTGAAGAGGGTAAGATATACATAATTTCAGATGGGCTATTTCTGCGAACCATTTTGCATGAAACTAGAAGAAAATTTTCATATCAGATTTTAACATGTCGTCCCTATTCCAATTGGGTTTAAGGTTATTGTTAGAGTTTTGGGTTTTAAGTTCAATTTTTTTTTTTATAGTCGAATCAAAGTGTTCTAAAGGCTGCAGTTTGGCTTTTGGCTAATACTACGTTTGGCCAGAATCAAACTTGACCCTCACAGCCGAAGTGTTAACTAGGTTCAATCTTCGATATTCTCAGTTACAAGTACAACTCGCGAATCCGAAAGCTTGTTTGGTAAAGAAACTTTGGACATGAGAGAGATTGATGTATCTACAATCTGCCCATGTTTTCTCAGCAATCCTATTTTGCTGAGGTGTGTAAGAGCAATACTTTTATTGCCATATCCCAGGCTTTTCAAGAAATTGCCACACAGATTGATTGGAAAACTCACCACCCCGTTACAGTCACTGCATTGTTTCTTAATTCTAGAGGATACGAAATTTTCAACATAGCATTTAAATTTCTGGAAAACTGTTGAGACATCTGATTTATGTATGATCGGAAACAATCATGTGAATCTACTATTGCCATCCATGCATGACACAGTAATTAAAACTATGAAATGAAGGGGGTTTAGGTGATGAAGCCCAAACATCACTACGGATGAGTTCAAGAGAACGCAATGACACAAATTTAAAAAATTTGAAGGTATCCATGACAGATGAACCATAATCCAGAGAAAAAGGGAAGAGCGGCCGATCCGCCAGCGGATGATACGCAAGCGAGACTATTAGTGAACCAACTAAGTCAATCTCTTTTCGCTTTGCACTCCGCTTAAGACTGGAATGGAGTTAGCCCGAGTTCTGAAACCTTCTCTTGATTTAAAAGTTAAAGAAGCCTTGGTGCCTAACGAAAGCGAGTTCTTACCCTTTGCCCCGAGGAGGGGGGGGGGGAAACTAACTCATTAGGGCGAGGGGAAGCAAGTCACAAATATCTCCTGGGGAAGGGGACGGGACAAAGCTTGTCTAAGGCTGATTAAGCTCATACCAAGAAATTCTGTATTAATAGATAGAACCAGGAAAAGTTCTAATGCAGGCAAAAGGCGTAGAGGCCCTGTTATCAAGTCCTCTTTCAGAAGCGATGATTGGCCATAATTTATTTTTTGTACCTTTACGTTATGTGCACATTTTTAATATATATTTTATGTAGTGTTGGAGATAGTTATTAGAGAGTTATTTTAATAAGTTGGTTAGTGATAGAATAATTTGTGAGAAATTTTTTAGGTGGTTACTAAGATAGTAGAACCATGAATCAAGTTAGTTATTAAAGTAATTTTATTATCTTGCATTTAAAGATTTTTCTATCAATAAAATGAATATGTTGAATATTGTATTGAATTTTCTTGCAGAAGTTTTGAAAATAAGTTCTTCTCAAATTGAGCAATCGAGGGTTTCTATTTCCTTGAAGGTGAGTTTTTTCTTTGATTCTATTTTTTATTTATTTTTTAAATTTCTTAAAATTGTGCATGTAACACTTTACAAGTTATTTTAATGATCAATTATAATATTTTAAGCTCGAGACTAACTTTGGAGTTGTAACTCAAAACCCTTTTCAATTGTCTAAGAGGATGTATATATATTTACACCCTAACTGATATTTCCCTAACCAAAAGGGCTACAACTGATATTTCTTCTAGCCAAAAACTAACCAGAACAGCAATGGCGGCCATTTTCAGTTAGCCTCCTCCCACACGNGGATCTAAAAATTTAATCACAATAAATTAGATTAAATTTTTAAATTTGAAAGAAAAAATGATTCAGCTAGTTTGAACTGGCTGAGGATTTAATTACTTAAAAGAGTCTTTGCCTGGACTGGTCGACAAACTAGGTCTCAGAATTGGACTTTTCAACAATTTTGGTAATAAAAAAGAATCCTGGAGCTTATTTATGGCAAATTTTCACATAAATATATGAATTAGAGAGGGTTATAATAAAATTTTAAAAAACATAAGAGGACATTCTCATATCAAAACATTGTTTAATCTTCAATGTTCTTTCCAATAATCAAAACCAAACGTAAAAACTCTCTAAGAATTTTTTTTCCCAATTCAATCAATTTCTCTCCAACCAATCACCTGAATTTTCAAGTCGAGGGTCAAAAACNATTGTTTAATCTTCAATGTTCTTTCCAATAATCAAAACCAAACGTAAAAACTCTCTAAGAATTTTTTTTCCCAATTCAATCAATTTCTCTCCAACCAATCACCTGAATTTTCAAGTCGAGGGTCAAAAACAGTACCAGTCTTCACGTTCTTCATCAACGCAACACCATCTCACATGAAAAAAAAAAGAAGGCAAATCCGAGATTCCCGTTATTATGGGTTTGAAGAGGGTAAGATATACATAATTTCAGATGGGCTATTTCTGCGAACCATTTTGCATGAAACTAGAAGAAAATTTTCATATCAGATTTTAACATGTCGTCCCTATTCCAATTGGGTTTAAGGTTATTGTTAGAGTTTTGGGTTTTAAGTTCAATTTTTTTTTTTATAGTCGAATCAAAGTGTTCTAAAGGCTGCAGTTTGGCTTTTGGCTAATACTACGTTTGGCCAGAATCAAACTTGACCCTCACAGCCGAAGTGTTAACTAGGTTCAATCTTCGATATTCTCAGTTACAAGTACAACTCGCGAATCCGAAAGCTTGTTTGGTAAAGAAACTTTGGACATGAGAGAGATTGATGTATCTACAATCTGCCCATGTTTTCTCAGCAATCCTATTTTGCTGAGGTGTGTAAGAGCAATACTTTTATTGCCATATCCCAGGCTTTTCAAGAAATTGCCACACAGATTGATTGGAAAACTCACCACTCCGTTACAGTCACTGCATTGTTTCTTAATTCTAGAGGATACGAAATTTTCAACATAGCATTTAAATTTCTGGAAAACTGTTGAGACATCTGATTTATGTATGATCGGAAACAATCATGTGAATCTACTATTGCCATCCATGCATGACACAGTAATTAAAACTATGAAATAAAGGGGGTTTAGGTGATGAAGCCCAAACATCACTACGGATGAGTTCAAGAGAACGCAATGACACAAATTTAAAAAATTTGAAGGTATCCATGACAGATGAACCATAATCCAGAGAAAAAGGGAAGAGCGGCCGATCCGCCAGCGGATGATACGCAAGCNGGATGAGTTCAAGAGAACGCAATGACACAAATTTAAAAAATTTGAAGGTATCCATGAGAGATGAACCATAATCCAGAGGAAAAGGGAAGAGCGGCCGATCCGCCAGCGGGTGATACGCAAGCGAGACTATTAGTGAACCAACTAAGTCAATCCCTTTTCGCTTTGCACTCCGCTTAAGACTGGAATGGAGTTAGCCCGAGTTCTGAAACCTTCTCTTGATTTAAAAGTTAAAGAAGCCTTGGTGCCTAACGAAAGCGAGTTCTTACCCTTTGTCCCGAGGAGNCAACTAAGTCAATCCCTTTTCGCTTTGCACTCCGCTTAAGACTGGAATGGAGTTAGCCCGAGTTCTGAAACCTTCTCTTGATTTAAAAGTTAAAGAAGCCTTGGTGCCTAGCGAAAGCGAGTTCTTACCCTTTGCCCCGAGGAGGGGGGGGGGGAAACTAACTCATTAGGGCGAGGGGAAGCAAGTCACAAATATCTCCTGGGGAAGGGGACGGGACAAAGCTTGTCTAAGGCTGATTAAGCTCATACCAAGAAATTCTGTATTAATAGATAGAACCAGGAAAAGTTCTAATGCAGGCAAAAGGCGTAGAGGCCCTGTTATCAAGTCCTCTTTCAGAAGCGATGATTGGCCATAATTTATTTTTTGTACCTTTACGTTATGTGCACATTTTTAATATATATTTTATGTAGTGTTGGAGATAGTTATTAGAGAGTTATTTTAGTAAGTTGGTTAGTGATAGAATAATTTGTGAGAAATTTTTTAGGTGGTTACTAAGATAGTAAAACCATGAATCAAGTTAGTTATTAAAATAGTTTTATTATCTTGCATTTAAAGATTTTTCTATCAATAAAATGAATATGTTGAATATTGTATTGAATTTTCTTGCAGAAGTTTTGAAAATAAGTTCTTCTAAAATTGAGCAATCGAGGGTTTCTATTTCCTTGAAGGTGAGTTTTTTTCTTTGATTCTATTTTTTATTTATTTTTTAAATTTCTTAAAATTGTGCATGTATCAATTATAATATTTTAAGCTCGAGACTAACTTTGGAGTTGTAACTCAAAACCCTTTTCAATTGTCTAAGAGGATGTATCTATATTTACACCCTAACTGATATTTCCCTAACCAAAAGGGCTACAACTGATATTTCTTCTAGCAAAAAACTAACCAGAACAGCAATGGCGGCCATTTTCAGTTAGCCTCCTCCCACACGCCCACGCCATGGTCAAAGCATTGTTTAATCTCCACTACACTAAACCAAACAAACCTCTGTTGAAATTTATTGCCAAAATTCAATGATTTCTCTTCAACCAATCACCAGAATTTTCAAGTCAAAAAACCAGTCAGCGGTCAGTGGTCCATCTTCACCTTCTTCATCAACCCACCATCGTTTTACATGAAACTTGCAGAAAATTTTCAAATCCTCATTCGAACATGTCATCCCATTTGAAATTGGGTTTTGGGTTATGGTTATGGTTATGGTTCTGGGTTTTGAGCTCAATTTGTTTTACTGTCCAATCGAAGTGTTCTAAAGGTTGTGATTTGGCTTTAGGCTCATACTATGTTTGGCTAGAATCAAACTTGACCTTCATAGAGGAAGTGTTAAGTGCTCCAATCCCCGATATTCTCAGTTACAACCCACGAATCCCAAACAAAGACAGCGTCCAATCCGACATCAGAATTAACATACCCTTTTCCTGCGACTGTATCGCCGGTGAATTCTTGGGACATGTGTTTACGTACAACGTTCGTTCCGGCGATACCTACGACAGGGTTGCGCAGACATACTACGCGAACTTGACGACGCCGGAGTGGGTGAGGAGGTTTAACAGTTACGCGCCGGAACGAATTCCAGATACTAATGCCAGACTTAATGTGACAGTGAATTGTTCGTGTGGGAATAGTAGGGTTTCGAAGGATTATGGGTTGTTTGTGACGTACCCTTTGAGGCCTAACGAGAGTTTGGATTCGGTTGCCGCGCAGGAGAATCTCACTGCCGATTTGATACAGAGATATAATCCGGATTCGGACTTTAGTGCCGGGAGTGGCCTGATTTACATCCCAGGCAAAGGTAATCTTTGGTAGTTTAAGGTTTTCTTAATTTTTATTCATCCGAACGTTTGGATCGGTGGTTTTGTCATATTGCAATTGACTTCCATTGTAATTGTGATTTGCCATTCTTTGAACTTGGCACAGACTAATGAAGTTAGTACATCCATTTTCAGATCATTAGAGACTCTTTTATGATAGCTCCCATTTGTGATTTCATATAATTTCTAATTTAGCCCTATTTTTATGCTATTGTAATTGAATGACATTGATCCCTGGGGATGACGCAATGTGGTCNTCATTAGAGACTCTTTTATGATAGCTCCCATTTGTGATTTCATATAATTTCTAATTTTGCCCTATTTTTATGCTATTGTAATTGAATGACATTGATCCCTGGGGATGACGCAATGTGGTCCTCGGAGGATGATGGTGTTTTGGTGGGCAATGCGGGATGTTTTGGGTCGATGTCCTAATAATCTGGCTAATTATGCCGAGTCATTGTTGTTGAGCTTGTTGTTGAAGTGACGAGATAGTGGCAGGTCTCTGTGATTGGTCGAATTATGCAGTGAGGGAGTTTGACTGTATATCCTATGAAACCGCTTGGTGGAGGATGCCTCACATTGTCATAGATGCATTATTTAATGAGTGTTCTTATATGTAAGTTATATTTGGTTATTTTGGTCGTGACTCCATTTTGGATGACAAAATTGATTTACAATGTTGTGGAAAGCTTCAAGATACTAAAATCCTTGCTGTGTCTAATGTCCCATGATGTGATAGTTAGACTTATAAAGACCTATTAGTTGATTCAAGAGGGAGTGGATCGGCTTATTCTTATCTGCTTCGAACTGCTAGAAATTCTCTTATCAATGTTGCCTATTTTTTGCTTTTGCAGATAGAAATGGAAGCTATCCACCCTTTAAAACCAGGTAATGTCTTTTTACTTCAATATGCTTATAAAACCAAACTTTTTGTTATCATATGATCTCTGCGCCTAAGGTATTTTCTTGACATCATTTTCCTGTTATTATTTTTCATTTTGCAGCACAGGTGGTCTTGCCTTCTTCCCATGGTGGTTCAGTGTTAACTTTCTTCATTTTCCATATTTGGACACTTTAGATGATAATTTGGAGCGTTCATACTGCTTAAGCCTATATTTTGCTCTTATCTCAGTAGGATTATCACCTGGGGCCATAGCTGGAGTTTCTGTAGCAGGAATAGCAGGATTGCTGTTATTTGGAGGCTGCTTATATGTTGGATTTTTCAGGAATAAGAAGCTACAAAAGACTGTAATGCTCTCAAGAACATCTGAAGATCAACCTCTTCAAGCTGCTCCTGGTAATTCTCAATATTTTCTTTTGTTTAGAGTTTCAGTCTGTATCTTTGAATAGTTACTTTAGAAATGGAAGCTTAATAAACATTTCTCGATTTGGCTCACCCTTGAAACTATATTAACTTCTTGGCTTATGAAATTGGAATATAAAATAGATGAATGCCAAATCTTAAGCAAACATTAGTCACAATGCCTTTTTTTGCATAGCCAAAGATCTCATGTCTATTTTGTAGACTTTCACCACTTCAGCAGATATTTGATCTATACAGCAGTGTAAAATCTTGTCTCATGGCTTTTGTTGATGCTGGTGTTTTCCCAAACCAGTAAATGTGGCAAACAGGCAGGTGCTGGAAATAGACTGGGGAATCTGTTGGTTTTTGGTAACTTGCAGCTGAAAGAATCCAGTAAAACCATCCCTCAGAAAATATAAAAAGAAATAAAACATAATAAAATAAAGGGATCCCAAAACAGCTTTCATTGTACCTGGTACGGGGATTAATATCCAATGAAAGCAGAAATACATTTATAGTCAAGTGATGAAGCTGTAATTGCACATATGTAAGAGAAAAACAGTGAAAGGGTGGTAGGGGATAAGAGAGGAATCTTTAACTGTATAAAGGTTTCCGAGGCAGTTAGAGATCCGTAGGCAAGGTCGTTATAAGATTTGATATTGCAATTTTTTATTTTTTATTTTTTTATGTATGGATATTTATCTGGGATTTTAGAGGCGCAGGGATTCCAGATGGATAGTTGGGACTAGGTTTGTGATTTTAGTGTAAGCAAAAGTATGCCCTCTGGTTGCTTAATGTTGCAAATGTTTAAGGCTTGAGTGTCAGGAAGCTTGCTATGTCTTGGATCCACATTGAGCAGCCCTTGAGGAGTGAATAAGGCCTTAAATGAATTTTTTGAGAGTTAGGAAGGTTTGAGAAGGCTTCAGGTGCCTGTAGAGGGTTCAAACTTGCTTCAGATGGACAAGGAAGAGTTGGCTAAGCTGAAAATGGTATGTAGCTCCGAATTACTCTAGTGCAGATAGTCAATGGGAGCTGAGAATAAATGTCGACATGGCTGAAGAAAATTATGGTCATTTGAGGTTATTTCATTATATAAGAATCATTTTGGCTGCATTTTATATGAGAAATGTTTCCTACTTCAGTAAAAACATTGTAAGTTACTTCCCAATAGGCTGATATGTTGTATATCTCTTGTGCATTTTGTTTACAATTTACGAAATAACTTGATCAATAAAGCCATTTTGTCAGACTGACAGAATGTGTCTTTTTGTTTCTTAGATGTATTCAAGCAAGCTTATCATAGATTCCTATTTCTATCTCTTTTGCTTGAAGCAAGCTTATCATAAATTTCTAGTTCTCTCTCTTTTGCTTGTGAAAAAGACGAAATTGGTAAATATGACTTCACTGATTACTTTTTGCTTCCTTCGGAGTTTAGCTTCTGGAGGTCCTGTGGTCAAAGCTGCAGAATCCCCTGGACTTGCTGGTGCTTCTCCTGGCCTCACTGGCATAACTGTTGACAAATCAGTGGAGTTCTCATATGAAGAGCTTGCAAAGGCTACCAATGACTTCAGCATTGCTAATAAGATTGGTCAAGGTGGCTTTGGCTCTGTTTACTATGCTGAGCTCAGAGGCGAGGTTTGTACATCTGATGTAATCGTTTAGCATTAGAAAAGGAAAATTTGGAAACTGCATGTGATACCAATGGGATTAATAATTTTCTATATATCTGGGCCAAGTTTCTTGAGTAAGAGCATTACATGTTCTTATAAGTTGAGCTTTTACTTGGTTATGTATTTTCTTTGGTATATGCGAGAAGATTTATCAAGGAGATTAATTTTAATAGGACAATTCTGGTGATCTTATTGGGTCAAGGAAGACAAAAATGTCCGTATGGCTTCACTTATCAAAGCCATTATTTTGATTTAATCTTAGTTAAGTGTAGTTTGGAGCTACTGATGAGTATTGTACTGCAACATCATCGTCAAATGCATAAAAAACAGTCGTGCATGACTCTGAATTGATCACTTTCTTATTTTTGTATTTTTTGGGCATAGGAGGCATGCATATGTTAATCAATGTTTTTGTTATTTTTTTGGAGGCTTTGAGTTTGTGAAAATATGATGTTCAATGGATGCGTATTTGTACGCCTTTTAGCTGGCACTTGAATGGATGTGAATCACTGAAGTAAAATTGTTGTAGTTGGACTCTNTTTTTGTTATTTTTTTGGAGGCTTTGAGTTTGTGAAAATATGATGTTCAATGGATGCATATTTGTACGCCTTTTAGCTGGCACTTGAATGGATGTGAATCACTGAAGTAAAATTGTTGTAGTTGGACTCAGATAGTTGGGATATAGGTTGTGTAACATAGTTGGCACTCCCAAGCTGGTTGTAGGGTGAATGGGAAACTATTCCTATGAATAAATAAAGGAAAAAAAATACACGTAGACAGATACAAATGGATGAATGGAATCATGGATAAGTAAATTGTCGGCTTGTTGTGGGTTATTGCAACGGGGCCTATGCTGTCAACATCCAAATGCATTTCTTAAGGTATCATTCATGGTGATGAATTTGGAAGCTTTGCCTTTCTTATTATGAGAAGGTTATTGATGTAGTTCCCTTTGTCAATACAACTGCTTATGAATCAGTATAATTTTGTGGTGTCATACTTATTTCTGATGCTAAGTGCCTGTATTATCTTTCTTACTTCTCCCTGGCCTGATTTATGCAGAAAGCTGCAATTAAGAAGATGGATATGCAAGCAACAAGAGAATTTCTAGCTGAATTAAAGGTTTTGACACATGTTCATCACCTGAACCTGGTATATACTATCTTTCCTGGCAATGCTTGTCTTTTTTCGTAGAGCTGGTCATCTTTTTTTTAAAAAAAAAATTTCCAAAAGCATATTTCAATTTAATTCATCTTCCTTATTAGTTTCGAATAGTTGGCATTTCTATTCAAGAAAGTTTCTACTTTCCTCGTTATAAGTGTTGTTGGAAGTCTTTGTTTCACTTACAGATCTAGCATAAACATAATTGGTATTGTAGATCCAACCTTAATTTGCGAGGGAGGAGTTATTGTGCCTTCATATACCAAGCTAACTGGGAATTAGTTTATATGACCTGATCATATGGGGCAGAGAAATATAGTAGATATACTGGACAAAGTAGTTTACATTAGAAGTAAATTCATATTTGTTGCTGAAGACAATTTTGAGGATCAGCTATTATGTATAAGTTTGATTGTGAAATCATAATATTACTGGTGATGCTTTCAGCATCTTAACAATTTATTGGCACCTAATGCAGGTGCGCTTGATTGGGTATTGCACTGAGGGTTCTCTTTTCGTGGTCTATGAATACATTGAAAATGGCAACTTAAGTCAACATTTGCATGGGTCAGGTGAGATTACATGTTCAATAATAAGATCCTGATAAAATAATAGTCCATTCAATACGACAGTTAGTTAATTTGTTATCTCTTTCCAGGGATGGACCCGCTGCCATGGCCAACTAGAGTGCAAATTGCCCTGGATTCAGCAAGAGGTCTTGAATATATCCATGAGCACACTGTTCCTGCCTATATCCACCGTGATATTAAATCAGCAAATATTCTGATAGATAAAAATTTCCACGGGAAGGTTGTTTCAATGCCCCTATGATTGAAGTACAATTCATGTGAAGCCTTACTAACAGAAGCATAGTAAAATAATTATTTTGCAGGTTGCAGATTTTGGTTTAACAAAGCTCACTGAAGTTGGAAGCACTGCTCTGCCCACACGTCTTGTGGGTACATTTGGATATATGCCACCAGAGTATGATAATTTTTTGCTTTGTTTCATATATATTAAGCCGATATCATAGTTAGCAAATAATAATGAGGATGTGAGCTGCTCCATGGAACAGATGTCATTTCAAATAATCGCCACTCTTGATTCATTAGTGACATTGTTGGTCAGTAAACCTTGGTCATCCAGAATTAACTACTTGTCTATGGTGATTTTCTGGACCTTCAGTGAGTTAGACTTGATAGATTATTGGACTGTTGCCATAAAATAATTTCTGTGAAACCCCCGAGTTAGTTTTTTAAGTCTGGAAATTATGTGTCAGATGCACTAAAAAAGTTGTAGTTCTTTCACATTTGTAAGATTGGCATGGCCATGGATTTTCATGAGTGGGGAGGTCTACATAAAGAAGACTGGTCTGTGCAAAACAAGCTAAGTTTAGTGAAGTCAGAAAAATGTATATTTAAGTGAGCACGATAATCTAATTTAGAGCTTAGAACTCTTTATTTGAGTTGAATGGAAAACAAATGGTAAGAGATTTAGTAGGCTTAAAGGATTCTAATCCTTGATTGGCAGTTTTGTTTCTATTATAGTTATTTTCTTACATAAATATGCTACTTAGAGTATTCCTTGAAGTAATACATCTAGAGAGCAGGGAATTCACATATTTTTCACAGCTCACTCTACTCTGCTTTGATTCGAGGCCATACCTTTTTGTTATCTCAAAAGTTGCTTTGTGGTTGTCATCATTTTAGTCCTTGAACAGTTGTTGCCTCTCCTTTCCTAGTCATACACAGGCCTTTGGTTCACCTATCACGATCATCTTAGACGACGTTCTCTTTTTTTCTTTTTCTTTTTTGTACGTCTTATATTTACTAGATTGTATTTGTCCTTTACAATGGTTCTCTGTTTCCCTACTCTATTTTTGTTCCCTGAAAAATGCAAAATCCTACAGGGGAAAGGGGAATAGTTGTAAGTTTAACACTTCCATCTTCCTTGAGAGTGAGCTCCCAAATCCCAAGGGATATGGTGCGATTCCCACTGGTAGAAAGTAAAAATTGGTGTTGATCTTAATAATCTTATATACCTGTAGGAAATTCATCAACTTTGACACTGCTTTTGTGCAGATATGCTCAATATGGTGAAGTTTCTCCTAAAATAGATGTCTATGCTTTTGGGGTTGTGCTTTACGAACTAATATCTGCCAAGGAAGCCATTGTCAAGGCAAATGGTTCTGTTGCTGAATCGAAGGGCCTAGTTGCTTTGGTAAGCAATCTTGTATTACTTCTTTTGAATATTAAAGAGTGGTTATGAGACAGGGCTAATCTCTCAGCATCATGACAGATATAGCTCACAAGAGCTTATTGTAGACACTCTGTTACCTGTTGTGCACTTGTAGTACATATGCTGTTGGCTTTTCTTAAATACCTCGCCCCTGTTTTGGAATCCCTACTGAAATTTTACTCACTCCCCCTTCCCCCCCACCAAAAAAAAAACAAAAGTTAATTCAAATTTGTAGCCCTAAATTTTTTCAGCTGGATTCAGTCAGCCTTTGACATCTAGCAGGTTGATGGTGGGCTTTTGGCCATCTTATACAACTAATGTAATCTCTTATATAGTCGTTAGCTAATTGTTATTGTGCCTCTGATGTTTGACAGTTTGAGGAAGTTTTTAGTCATCCGGATGCAGGAAAAGACCTTTGCAAACTGGTTGACCCAAGGCTTGGGGATAACTACCCCCTCGACTCAGTGCGCAAGGTGCAGTATTTCTTTGTGACTACGATAGAAAATAGGGTCCTTTATTTATTTTATTAATTCTCTTTCTTATAAAGGCTTGGTGGTGACCTATTTGGTTGCAGATGGCTCAGCTAGCCAAAGCTTGCACACACGAAAATCCTCAGCTACGGCCAAGCATGAGATCCCTTGTGGTTGTGCTGATGACTCTCTCATCCACTACAGAGGATTGGGATGTTCGCTCCTTCTATGAAAACGAAGCGCTAACGAATCTAATGTCCGGAAGGTAGTTCCAAGAAAGCACCACCATACTCAGGCTTATGTGTCGCGAGTTGTTGCTTGTGAATTTACATCAAGATTGAGCTGCTGTTACAAGAATCAGAAAACAAGTATCACTTGTACATTTGAGTTTTGTAGGTATGCAAATTTGTTGTTTGGTGAGTGCAGGGAATTAAAAGAGTGTGTTGACATTCATTCATTTTTCTGTTTATTTCAGAAAAGATGTCGGTAGAGTTACAAATATGAACTTGTCTTTACCAAGCTTTCATGTTTTCTATTAGCAGCAAATAAACTTTTGAGTAAATTATACATATGATCCTTAAATTATGGTCTTTNAACTTGTCTTTACCAAGCTTTCATGTTTTCTATTAGCAGCAAATAAACTTTTGAGTAAATTATACATATGATCCTTAAATTATGGTCTTTAAGTTCCTAAACTTTTTTTTTTGTATCAATTGAATTCTTGAACTCTCTAATTGTGTCAATTGATTATTTATGTACGCCTCTGTTTGGTTTTTTAATAGAAACGTGACATAAATGGTTATAGAGTAAACTATATATATATGACCTTCAAACTATGATCCGTGTATCAATTAAGTNTGTACGCCTCTGTTTGGTTTTTTAATAGAAACGTGACATAAATGGTTATAGAGTAAACTATATATATATGACCTTCAAACTATGATCCGTGTATCAATTAAGTCCATAATTTTTATTTTTTTTTCGGTATTAGTTGAGTCTTTGAACTTTTTTTTTTTTGTTTGTATGTGTGTCAATTGAGCGCCTGAACTGACTAATTGAGTCTTTCTGTAATATATAGTCTTGTGAATAACACACTCTAACGAACACTGACAGAATGACTCAATTGACACAATCAGAGAGTTTAAGAGCTCAATTAACATCAAATAAAAAAAGTTTAAGGACTTATTGAACATAAATGTCATAGTTTGAAGACTATATATGTAATTTGCTCTAATTTTTTTTATAACAATGAAGCAGTCTACCAAATAGTCAGCAAAAGAAATTATCTCCATACAATTATTGATGAATGATCATAACCCTANAGCAGCAAATAAACTTTTGAGTAAATTATACATATGATCCTTAAATTATGGTCTTTTTTGTCAATTAAGTTCCTAAACTTCTTTTTTTTTTGTATCAATTGAATTCTTGAACTCTCTAATTGTGTCAATTGATTATTTATATACGCCTCTGTTTGGTTTTTTAATAGAAACGTGACATAAATAGTTATAGAGTAAACTATATATATATGACCTTCAAACTATGATCCGTGTATCAATTAAGTCCATAATTTTTATTTTTTTTCGGTATTAATTGAGTCTTTGAACTTTTTTTTGTTTTGTTTGTATGTGTGTCAATTGAGCGCCTGAACTGACTAATTGTGTCAATTGAGTCTTTCTGTAATATATAGTCTTGTGAATAACACATTCTAACGAACACTGACAGAATGACTTAATTGACACAATCAGAGAGTTTAAGAGCTCAATTAACACCAAATAAAAAAAGTTTAAGGACTTATTGAACATAAATGTCATAGTTTGAAGACTATATACGTAATTTGCTCTAATTTTTTTTATAACAATGAAGCAGTCTACCAAGTAGTCAGCAAAAGAAATTATCTCCATACAATTATTGATGAATGATCATAACCCTAGTCACAACCAAGATCATTTCAATATGATCGAAATATTTGTAATTTTAAAAAGATTAAAATAAATTAATGATTGAATCAGAATTTTAATAATTTGATATGTAAGTTGTCAATAATTCTGAATTATAACAGGTTGATAATTTAAAACAAATTTTTGTATTGAGAAGGGTTTTTTCAAAATATATATATATATATAAATTTAAAATAACGATAATTTGATGTATAAGTTTAAAATTTAATATTTAGATTTAAATATATTTTAGAAAATCAATAGTTAGATAGTTAACTCATGTTTCACGTAGTCCGGTGTTATCTTTCAGTGTGACTCCATTCGGTCCCACTTTAACACCGACGCTGTAATGAATATCTTGGATGGAAGAAAGTTACAATTCCACATACATATCTTGACTTTGAATTATTAATTTCTTGAATTGATAAAAAAATATATATATATTAATTTCTTGAAATTTTTTTTTTTAATTTTAAATTAAATTAAATGTAACATTAATTAAAAATAAAAATAAAATAATTTTTTTATATATGATATATTTTTATTTAAGAAAAAAAATAAAAATATGATACCGAAAAATGTGTATTGGTATCGTAACAGAATTTTTGACCAAAAAAAAAAGTATCATAAGAGAATTTTTTTTGGTTCAACGGTCAAAAATGTTCGGATCATCTTACTCATATCTCGATTTATTTTTTTCATAATTCAGTCAAAAATAGATCATTCACGTTAAAAATAAAATATTCATGAAAGATTATCTCTCATGGTCTGACACTAATATATTTGTTAAGATTCAAATTCAAGATATTTGAATTTATAGTTCGTTCCCAGTTTTTTTTTAATTCAAAGGTCATGAGTGTCTGCACCAATTTACACACATTTCGATTAATTTCTTCCTCAGTCCGATCAAAAACAAATCATTCACGTTAAAATTAAGGTATTTATAAATGATATATCTCTCACAATCTAATTCTAAAATTTTACTAAAATTCAAATTTATGATATATAAATTTATAATTCATTATTATTATCATTTAAATTACTACTTAAAGGTAGAACTCGTTAATGATACTAATCGAATTAGTCGGAGTTGTATCCCAAGAGAACTCATGCTGCAGTGTCTACTCTAAAATTTCATCTCGGCAGGAGGTACACGTGACAAATTTTTGGTCGATGACACGTGGATNCCCACTTTAACACCGACGCTGTAATGAATATCTTGGATGGAAGAAAGTTACAATTCCGCATACATATCTTGACTTTGAATTATTAATTTCTTGAATTGATAAAAAAAATATATATATTAATTTCTTGATAAAAAAAATTTTTAATTTTAAATTAAATTATATGTAACATTAATTAAAAATAAAAATAAAATAATTTTTTATATATGATATATTTTTATTTAAGAAAAAAAATAAAAATATGATACCGAAAAATGTGTATTGGTATCGTAAGAGAATTTTTGACCAAAAAAAAAAGTATCATAAGAGAATTTTGTTTGGTTCAACGGTCAAAAATGTTCGGATCATCTTACTCATATCTCGATTTATTTTTTTCTTAATTCAGTCAAAAATAGATCATTCACGTTAAGAATAAAATATTCATGAAAGATTATCTCTCATGGTCTGACACTAATATATTGTTAAGTTTCAAATTCAAGATATTTGAATTTATAGTTCGTTCCCAATTTTTTCTTAATTCAAAGGTCATGAGTGTCTGCACCAATTTACACACATTTCGATTAATTTCTTTCTCAGTCCGATCAAAAATAAATCATTCACGTTAAAATTAAGGTATTTATAAGGGATATATCTCTCACAATCTAATTCTAAAATTTTACTAAAATTCAAATTTATGATATATAAATTTATAACTCATTATTATTATCATTTAAATTACTACTTAAAGGTAGAACTCGTTAATGATACTAATCGAATTAGTCGGAGTTGTATCACAAGAGAACTCATGCTGCAGTGTCTACTCTAAAATTTCATCTCGGCAGGAGGTACACGTGACAATTTTTCTGTCGATGACACGTGGACGATGTTAAAAGCATTACCCAAAGGCCCACTGTCGTTTTTCCCCAAGATATTTTTGGGTGTTCAAGCAATCATTTCAATCCACTTAAAAAAAGAATAACAAAAAAGGCAAAATCCAGTTTATCCTATTGTAATTTGGGCTTTCTTCCCATGACCCCCTTATTTTTTGAAAATAGAAAATGACACCCTTATAGTTTTAAACTAAAGTGCTACCATTATTCAGTCCGTCCAAAAGGATGGAAATTGAAACACTAAAGTGCTACCATTTTGGCTTCGATTTTGATTGTCGACTTTTCTTTCTTTGAGTGGGCGGTGGTTGTGGATGTTGTGGCTGTGGGGCGTAGGTATACAATGGAGGAGTAGTTTTTGAGTTTCGTGGAATAGTTGGTACAAATTTAGGCATCTTGTATAAAAAAAATTTTNTTGTGGCTGTGGGGCGTAGGTATACAATGGAGGGGTAGTTTTTGAGTTTCGTGGAATAGTTGGTACAAATTTAGGCATATTGTATAAAAAAAATTGATAGTGTCTAAGAAAAATTCGGGAATTGTAGTGGGCTTTAAACATTTTTGTCAAATTATTTTCAGTCTTGAACTCAGCTTGGTCCGAATCCATTTGTTAAATGAAGCAAGCTTAAAGTTGTGTTTGAAATTAAACTCAAATTTAAACACGTATTTGAGGTCGAGCTACAACTATATAGAAAGAGTATTGGCTATTAACTAACGTATCCACATTTATGAATCTTCATTTTCTTTATAACCACAACAATTTTAAAGTATCAAAATTATATTTACCCCCATTGNAATGAAGCAAGCTTAAAGTTGTGTTTGAAATTAAACTCAAATTTAAACACGTATTTGAGGTCGAGCTACAACTATATAGAAAGAGTATTGGCTATTAACGTATCCACATTTATGAATCTTCATTTTCTTTATAACCACAACAATTTTAAAGTATCAAAATTATATTTACCCCCATTGATTTCACTAAAAATACGATATATACACCCTGACAAAAATACCATCAATTAATGAGATCATTCGAGAGTTATTCAAATTTATTTTTATTCATATTTCGGTAAAAATGATAAATTTATGATAAAAAATTATTAATAATTTAAATNTAACCACAACAATTTTAAAGTATCAAAATTATATTTACCCCCATTAATTTCACTAAAAATACGATATATACACCCTGACAAAAATACCATCAATTAATGAGATCATTCGAGAGTTATTCAAATTAATTTTTATTCATATTTCGGTAAAAATAATAAATTTATGACAAAAAATTATTAATAATTTAAACATTTTTTAGTTCAGAGATTACATATAAACATATTTATTATTTCAAAGATTAAAATAATTCAATTAAATTATTGAGAATTAAAAAAATAGATATGTTTGAGATTTTAGAGACCCATTTTATAATTAACCCAATAATTAAATTATATAAATAAATTGAGTCCAAATAACGTTACTCCCCTCTCGGACGTGCAAAACACTACAAAATTAAATCAACTCAATCAGGGATNATAATTCAATTAAATTATTGAGAATTAAAAAAATAGATATGTTTGAGATTTTAGAGACCCATTTTATAATTAACCCAATAATTAAATTATATAAATAAATTGAGTCCAAATAACGTTACTCCCCTCTCGGACGTGCAAAACACTGCAAAATTAAATCAACTCAATCAGGGATAGCTTTGTCCAATTTATAAAACAGGTATGGCCCCACAATTATCTTCTCTCTCAATATAGATCTCTACATCTTCTTTCAATTCTTGTTGGTCCTAACATAGACTACCGTGAAGAGAGAGAGAGAGATCACAAGATCTACAATCATGTCGGCGATGATCGCCAAAATGATGAGCACATCATCGGGCACTTCACTATCCTCAACAACCTCACCACCACCGCAACCCACTTCTCTGCCGGTCCGTACGATTCCCGGCGGCTACGGCTGGCCGCTGCTGGGTCCGATATCGGACCGGCTGGACTATTTCTGGTTCCAAGGTCCGGAAACTTTCTTCAGGAAGAGGATTGAGAAGAACAAGAGCAGAGTGTTCAGGACCAACGTGCCTCCGACGTTTCCGCTTTTTCTCGGAGTAGACCCTAACGTCGTGGCGGTACTCGATGTCAAGTCTTTTTCTCATCTCTTTGATATGGATTTAGTCGAGAAGAAGAATACTCTGATCGGAGATTTCATGCCGAGTGTCAAGTTCACCGGCGATGTTCGTGTTTGTGCATATCTTGATACATCGGAGCCTCAACACTCTCAGGCAGGCTTCACACTCTCTCTCTCTCTCTCTCTCTACTAGGGTAATATGTGCCTACGGTGTAACGTAAATAATTTTAGTCTCCGGAATTAAATTCTATTCTATTTTATATTACAGATCTGAACAACACTTTTACTCTTTAAAAAAAAAAAAAGGAAAATATATCAAAGAAAAAAAAGGGTTATTAATTTTGTTTTGGAGAGTGAAAGAGTCTTGAACTCTTGAATTAACTTTAAATTGGGACTCATTTTTAATTCAAAGATTGTAATGAATTAAATTAACATATTAAATTCAAATACATTATTTTGTAAAAGATGGATTACTTGTGAAAAAGGAGGGTGGATCTAGGTATTTGTGTAATTTAATGGGTGTAAATCATAATAATTTTTGATTCAATTTTGAAACTAAATTTTTTTACTTAAAATAATTTTGCAATTTCTTAACTAATAGATGAAGAAGCTTAATTGTGTGTTAAACTATCACATCATTTGTACTAAAAAAAAAAAAAAATTGGTACTAAAATTTGGTTAGTTTATTATAAATTTTATATAAATAATATTCTTTTACTCGACACAAAGTTTAAGGGTTTGTACAGTAAGTTTGTTTGTTTGTTTTAAAGGTTGGGACCCCGTGAGGACCACCGTAGCTATTGGTGGTCCTTGGATTCACGTGGGCTTGTGGTCAAGGCCATAATGCAATTCTCTATGTCTCAATGTGCTATTTAAATAGCATAGTTTGTCCTCACCCCTAAAAATATCTTCTTCTTTTTGGAAAGGTGTCCAATTATAAGAATTTAAAATTTTAACTTAATTAATTTAATGATGTGATAATTGACCTGGTGTAATAATTTTGTTTTAGTTTAAAGTTATGGACTGCTTTTTCATTAGAATTATACTATTTTGTTAGTATTATAAATTAGGTCGATAGTTAAGTTCGAATAATATTATTCCACCCAAAAAATATTTAGAATTTTACTTCATCATTCGTGGTATTGATACTATACTCCAAAGCAAGCTTGACTGGTCGATAGTTCATGTTTCATGTGTCACTTTTTTTTATTTTTTGATATTTTGGTTATAGTGTCCGGTCTAATTTTTGTGTGCGTCGATTGATATTTTTTTTAATTTTATCACAGACAGATTATTCACGGTAGGATTAAAAAATGAGCGATACTATGAACCTTATTTGGAGACCTAATCTGGTGTGATTTCAATTTAACAATTAGATTAGTTGTGAGTTTCAACGTTAGATGAAACTTACAACTAATTTAATAGTTTTACATCACGAAAATTATCAAATTTTGAAGACAGTATTCTCCCACCATTATATATGTACAACAAAAATAATATTATGCATGACAAAGTTGTTATCACATTACCTTACCTATAGATACAAGTAATTTGTTTATTATAAAGCGATGGTGATAGCATTCGATTCGTAGTATCTATTGTTTGATAGTCAAATTCCCAAAAGTCTGTTGAGGCAATATTTAAATGTGAATTTCAAATCAATAGACTTAATTCTTCAAGTATAATGTTAGAAAATGAATAATTTAGAGAGCAATGTGAAACAAGAAATATAGTTGAGGGGTCTAACTATAATTATCATTGACAGGTCAAGAACTTTGCGATGGACATCCTAAAACGAAGCTCCACCATATGGGCATCAACAGTAATCTCCAAGCTAGACACCATGTGGGACACCATTGAGTCCGACATCTCCAAGTCCGGTTCATCTACCTATCTCACCTCTTTACAACAGTTCATCTTCAGTTTCCTCACTCGCTGCCTCGTCGGAGCTGACCCATCAAGCTCACCGGAAATTGCAGAGTCCGGCTACGCCATGCTCAACCGGTGGCTCGCTCTTCAGCTGCTTCCCACTGTCAAAGTCGGCCTTCTTCAACCTCTAGAAGAAATTTTCCTCCACTCTTTCGCTTACCCTTTTTTACTTGTCCAATTTGATTACAATAAGCTGGTCAAATTCGTGGAAAAAGAAGGGAAAGAAGTGATAGAGAGAGGTGAGTCGGAGTTCAAACTCAGTTCACAAGATGCCATTCACAACCTCATGTTTATACTTGGTTTCAATGCGTTTGGAGGCTTTTCAGTCTTCTTTCCCAGTCTATTTACTGCAATAGCGAATGATGAAACTGGGATACAAGAAAAGTTGAGGAAAGAAGTGAGAGAAAAATGTGGGTCGTCAGACTCACCTCTGAGTTTCGACTCGGTGAAAGAGATGGAACTCGTTCAGTCATTCGTATACGAAACTCTCCGACTCAACCCGCCTGTTCCTCTTCAATACGGGAGAGCAAGGAGAGATTTCAAACTGAGTTCACATGACTCAGTGTACGAGATCAAGAAAGGTGAGTTGCTTTGTGGGTATCAACCATTGGTGATGAGAGACCCAGAGGTATTTGATGATCCTGAAACGTTTGTGGCTGATAGGTTTACGAAAGAGAAGGGTAAAGAGTTACTGAGTTATCTGTTCTGGTCGAATGGGCCGCAGACTGGGTCACCCACTGAGTCAAACAAGCAGTGTGTGGCTAAAGACTACGTGACTCTCACTGCGTCTTTGTTTGTGGCTTATTTGTTTCAGAGGTATGATTCCATTACTATTGACTCTTCTTCTGGGGCAATCACAGCCGTTCAAAAGGCTAAGTGAGACAACGGGAATCTATGTATGAATCTCAAACTTGCGTATGTATTGAGGATTGTATATTGTGTGACGAACGAGAAGATTGATAACGGACGATAAGGAGGGTCCCACGTTAATGTGGGATTAAATATGATGGTTTTTAGTTCATATTTTCTTTTCTCGTTGATTTTTTTTGTTCATTCTTCGCAAAATGGTGTGTGGGTCACGTGTACATCACAATATTATTAAAACTTAAAAAATTAATTTAAGTTGTTAACATAATAATGTGTCGAGTGATAAAGTCTTTACAAAAAAATTGAAGAGTTATAATCACAATAATACTATTAGACCATGTTATTATTACATTATTAGGTCAATAAATTATATTAATTTTTTAAGTATCAATAATATTACTCATAATATATTATACTAGCGAAACTCTACGGTACAGAAGGAGGTATTGTACTGTCGCTTATTACTTTTACGGTAAAGATACAATTTATAAAAGAAAAGTTATAACTGTTCAATGGGATCATGATCAATCACAGATACACATGATCGATCACAGATACACATGATCGATCGTGGACTTTTCTTGAGCAGTTATAACTTTTCCCTTATGAATTATAACTTGACTTTTAAAAATTGTAATTTTCGTATAATTCTAATTTATCATGAACGATTATAACTTTTAAAAGTTATAATTTACATCTCAAAAAGCATTGTAATTTAACCTTAAATAGTTGTAAATTTCATCCTTTAGTACCGTAACTTTTTCTGTTATATTATATCAAATAATTTAGGGCGCAACTCTACTAATTTTTTGCTAATCAGACACTTGTCAACGAACGAACCATCTAGTAACAATCGTTCTTTCGCAAGCCATGTCATTATGCTCAATCTGTCCGAGGAGAAGCCAAGGGAGAGGAGCTTGGGCCCTAGGGTCTATGCCCTCTAATACGGTAGAGTAAATCTAATGGTGTCTGTGTAGCTTCACCTTGCTGAACGTTGGTCTGATTTTATTGAGAGTTTGGTCGAGTGATCTTGCTGCAGCTTGTGGCCTTGCGTGTTGAGGTCTACTTAAAAATTCTCCTATGCCAAGTATATTCTCCTATCTACCGAAGACAACCACAACCCCTGGATTAGAGTGCTCTCATAGAAGAAGATGAACTATCTAAAACTCCTATTTTATTATTTTCTCTTTCCTTGCCACTCTATTGATACTCTCAAGTAGAATATAATCGTATATAAACTGTATATAAAAATTAACAAAACTAACTTGCCCGTATATTTCTATCAATGGTTCAGGCAATCAGATGATGTAACAAATGAAAATTTACTCTCTGCGAATAAGGATGGTCATTTGATCACAATCTATAACTCCAAAGTTTCTTACAATTTGAATATTCAACCACAATTCTAAAATGAAAAAAAAAAAAACGAAATGGCAAGTCTATGCTTTTTTGCAAAGATCAGTTGCTTTAAGCTGAAACCAGTTTCACAAGGAAGTTGACTGCCACTAGTATACATGAGCCCATACCTAATTGAGATAGTTCCATATGAGGCTGCTGGCATTTCATGCAGACTGTACATTTCCCTGAGATTGANAAAATTTGGTTAGTTTATTATAAATTTTATATAAATAATATTCTTTTACTCGACACAAAGTTTAAGGGTTTGTACAGTAAGTTTGTTTGTTTGTTTTAAAGGTTGGGACCCCGTGAGGACCACCGTAGCTATTGGTGGTCCTTGGATTCACGTGGGCTTGTGGTCAAGGCCATAATGCAATTCTCTATGTCTCAATGTGCTATTTAAATAGCATAGTTTGTCCTCACCCCTAAAAATATCTTCTTCTTTTTGGAAAGGTGTCCAATTATAAGAATTTAAAATTTTAACTTAATTAATTTAATGATGTGATAATTGACCTGGTGTAATAATTTTGTTTTAGTTTAAAGTTATGGACTGCTTTTTCATTAGAATTATACTATTTTGTTAGTATTATAAATTAGGTCGATAGTTAAGTTCGAATAATATTATTCCACCCAAAAAATATTTAGAATTTTACTTCATCATTCGTGGTATTGATACTATACTCCAAAGCAAGCTTGACTGGTCGATAGTTCATGTTTCATGTGTCACTTTTTTTTATTTTTTGATATTTTGGTTATAGTGTCCGGTCTAATTTTTGTGTGCGTCGATTGATATTTTTTTTAATTTTATCACAGACAGATTATTCACGGTAGGATTAAAAAATGAGCGATACTATGAACCTTATTTGGAGACCTAATCTGGTGTGATTTCAATTTAACAATTAGATTAGTTGTGAGTTTCAACGTTAGATGAAACNATGTGCTATTTAAATAGCATAGTTTGTCCTCACCCCTAAAAATATCTTCTTCTTTTTTGAAAGGTGTCCAATTATAAGAATTTAAAATTTTAACTTAATTAATTTAATGATGCGATAATTGACATGGTGTAATAATTTTGTTTTAGTTTAAAGTTATGGACTGCTTTTTCATTAGAATTATACTATTTTGTTAGTGTATTAATTAGGTCGATAATTAAGTTCGAATAATATTATTCCACCCAAAAAATATTTAGAATTCTACTTCATCATTCGTGGTACTGATACTATACTCCAAAGCAAGCTTGACTGGTCGATAGTTCATGTTTCATGTGTCACTTTTTTTTTTTTTTTTGATATTTTGGTTACAGTGTCCGGTAAGATTAAAAAATGAGCGATACTATGAACCTTATTTAGAGACCTAATCTGGTGTGATTTCAATTTAACAATTAGATTAGTTGTGAGTTTCAATGTTAGATGAAATTTACAACTAATTTAATAGTTTTACATCACGAAAATTATCAAATTTTGAAGACAGTATTCTCCCACCATTATATATGTACAACAAAAATAATATTATGCATGACAAAGTTGTTATCACATTACCTTACCTATAGATACAAGTAATTTGTTTATTATAAAGCGATGGTGATAGCATTCGATTCGTAGTATCTATTGTTTGATAGTCAAATTCCCAAAAGTCTGTTGAGGCAATATTTAAATGTGAATTTCAAATCAATAGACTTAATTCTTCAAGTATAATGTTAGAAAATGAATAATTTAGAGAGCAATGTGAAACAAGAAATATAGTTGAGGGGTCTAACTATAATTATCATTGACAGGTCAAGAACTTTGCGATGGACATCCTAAAACGAAGCTCCACCATATGGGCATCAACAGTAATCTCCAAGCTAGACACCATGTGGGACACCATTGAGTCCGACATCTCCAAGTCCGGTTCATCTACCTATCTCACCTCTTTACAACAGTTCATCTTCAGTTTCCTCACTCGCTGCCTCGTCGGAGCTGACCCATCAAGCTCANATGTGGGACACCATTGAGTCCGACATCTCCAAGTCCGGTTCATCTACCTATCTCACCCCTTTACAACAGTTCATCTTCAGTTTCCTCACTCGCTGCCTCGTCGGAGCTGACCCATCAAGCTCGCCGGAAATTGCAGAGTCCGGCTACGCCATGCTCAACCGGTGGCTCGCTCTTCAGCTGCTTCCCACTGTCAAAGTCGGCCTTCTTCAACCTCTAGAAGAAATTTTCCTCCACTCTTTCGCTTTCCCTTTTTTACTTGTCCAATTTGATTACAATAAGCTGGTCAAATTCGTGGAAAAAGAAGGGAAAGAAGTGATAGAGAGAGGTGAGTCGGAGTTCAAACTCAGTTCACAAGATGCCATTCACAACCTCATGTTTATACTTGGTTTCAATGCGTTTGGAGGCTTTTCAGTCTTCTTTCCCAGTCTATTTACTGCAATAGCGAATGATGAAACTGGGATACAAGAAAAGTTGAGGAAAGAAGTGAGAGAAAAATGTGGGTCGTCAGACTCACCTCTGAGTTTCGACTCGGTGAAAGAGATGGAACTCGTTCAGTCATTCGTATACGAAACTCTCCGACTCAACCCGCCTGTTCCTCTTCAATACGGGAGAGCAAGGAGAGATTTCAAACTGAGTTCACATGACTCAGTGTACGAGATCAAGAAAGGTGAGTTGCTTTGTGGGTATCAACCATTGGTGATGAGAGACCCAGAGGTATTTGATGATCCTGAAACGTTTGTGGCTGATAGGTTTACGAAAGAGAAGGGTAAAGAGTTACTGAGTTATCTGTTCTGGTCGAATGGGCCGCAGACTGGGTCACCCACTGAGTCAAACAAGCAGTGTGTGGCTAAAGACTACGTGACTCTCACTGCGTCTTTGTTTGTGGCTTATTTGTTTCAGAGGTATGATTCCATTACTATTGACTCTTCTTCTGGGGCAATCACAGCCGTTCAAAAGGCTAAGTGAGACAACGGGAATCTATGTATGAATCTCAAACTTGCGTATGTATTGAGGATTGTATATTGTGTGACGAACGAGAAGATTGATAACGGACGATAAGGAGGGTCCCACGTTAATGTGGGATTAAATATGATGGTTTTTAGTTCATATTTTCTTTTCTCGTTGATTTTTTTTGTTCATTCTTCGCAAAATGGTGTGTGGGTCACGTGTACATCACAATATTATTAAAACTTAAAAAATTAATTTAAGTTGTTAACATAATAATGTGTCGAGTGATAAAGTCTTTACAAAAAAATTGAAGAGTTATAATCACAATAATACTATTAGACCATGTTATTATTACATTATTAGGTCAATAAATTATATTAATTTTTTAAGTATCAATAATATTACTCATAATATATTATACTAGCGAAACTCTACGGTACAGAAGGAGGTATTGTACTGTCGCTTATTACTTTTACGGTAAAGATACAATTTATAAAAGAAAAGTTATAACTGTTCAATGGGATCATGATCAATCACAGATACACATGATCGATCACAGATACACATGATCGATCGTGGACTTTTCTTGAGCAGTTATAACTTTTCCCTTATGAATTATAACTTGACTTTTAAAAATTGTAATTTTCGTATAATTCTAATTTATCATGAACGATTATAACTTTTAAAAGTTATAATTTACATCTCAAAAAGCNCTGTCGCTTATTACTTTTACGGTAAAGATACAATTTATAAAAGAAAAGTTATAACTGCTCAATGGGATCATGATCAATCACAGATACACATGATCGATCGTGGACTTTTCCTGAGCAGTTATAACTTTTCCCTTATGAATTATAACTTGACTTTTAAAAATTGTAATTTTTGTATAATTCTAATTTATCATGAACGATTATAACTTTTAAAAGTTATAATTTACATCTCAAAAAGTATTGTAATTTAACCTTAAATAGTTGTAAATTTCATCCTTTAGTACCGTAACTTTTTCTGTTATATTATATCAAATAATTTAGGGCGCAACTCTACTAATTTTTTGCTAATCAGACACTTGTCAACGAACGAACCATCTAGTAACAATCGTTCTTTCGCAAGCCATGTCATTATGCTCAATCTGTCCGAGGAGAAGCCAAGGGAGAGGAGCTTGGGCCCTAGGGTCTATGCCCTCTAATACGGTAGAGTAAATCTAATGGTGTCTGTGTAGCTTCACCTTGCTGAACGTTGGTCTGACTTTATTGAGAGTTTGGTCGAGTGATCTTGCTGCAGCTTGTGGCCTTGCGTGTTGAGGTCTACTTAAAAATTCTCCTATGCCAAGTATATTCTCCTATCTACCGAAGACAACCACAACCCCTGGATTAGAGTGCTCTCATAGAAGAAGATGAACTATCTAAAACTCCTATTTTATTATTTTCTCTTTCCTTGCCACTCTATTGATACTCTCAAGTAGAATATAATCGTATATAAACTGTATATAAAAATGAACAAAACTAACTTGCCCGTATATTTCTATCAATGGTTCAGGCAATCAGATGATGTAACAAATGAAAATTTACTCTCTGCGAATAAGGATGGTCATTTGATCACAATCTATAACTCCAAAGTTTCTTACAATTTGAATATTCAACCACAATTCTAAAATGAAAAAAAAAAAAAAAAAACGAAATGGCAAGTCTATGCTTTTTTGCAAAGATCAGTTGCTTTAAGCTGAAACCAGTTTCACAAGGAAGTTGACTGCCACTAGTATACATGAGCCCATACCTAATTGAGATAGTTCCATATGAGGCTGCTGGCATTTCATGCAGACTGTACATTTCCCTGAGATTGAGTACCAGATTTGGCATCCCCTTCTTTCCATCCTCTCTGACGAGCTCTTAGCTCCCACATTGCAGTCAGTCTCTGCTGTGCCAATAAAGTCGCTTCAGCCTTTTCCCTCGCTTCTTCACATGTATCCATTCCTGAATTGCACTTGTCTGCCTCTTTTTGATACTGAGACGTCGTCTTCTTCGCCTCAAGCAGTGACATGTCGGCACGTTTCTGATTTTCTGAAGCTTCAGCTTCTCTTAGCTTTAGTTCCTCGGACAAAAGCTCTGAAAAATTCTTTTCTGTGTCATCAGTGACTTCTGGATCACGTTTTGCACAATCTGCATGATCACAACAGAACCAAGAAAACAAGCAAGATTATCAGGGAATCATTCTTTATTTGCAAAACAATTAGTTGACCTTCAATAGCATCTGAGATCAGTAACAGAATATACTGCCAATAAGATCTACAGTGGAATATAAATGCAGTGGCCCAATGTCTATACATGCGAAGTAAGTGAAACTGACATTCCAAAGCTTTCTAGAGGGGCCTATAAGGAAGTGGAAATAAATAGGAGAACCTTACTCCAGCCACAGTTTATCAGCTGTTAAGGTTGGTGACATTTTCCCTGTAGCTTGAGAGTTTGTTAGGTCCCATCCAGTCTACAAAAATAGAACTAGAATGCAAACTCGAACTACTAGCCTTTGCCTCAGCATGGATTATTATAACAGGTTATTGCACCAAAAAGAAAAGATTACTTGTGAACCAGAAACTGAGGAAATATATAAAACGTTTTATGCTACAATACTAACCTGCTAAAGAAGTGTTGCTCAGCTCTGCAAGAAACATAGAAAAGTGTCAAAGTAAGCACATATTTGATAAACAAATCAGTTGAAAAATAAAGGAAGGATACTATCAAGAATTTGGTTAACTAGAGTTCACATGCCAATACCAAGTATAACAAACCTTGGCTTGCCACATTGAATATGATAGGCCCGATATCAGTGAGACATGCAATTGGGAAACAAAGAGTAAAAACAGATAATTATTAAGATATTCATCAAGAAATGGGGAGATGACTTCAGGTTAAAGTGTGTGTCAATCAGATCTCCATGCCATACATAAATCGTTATATGTGATCTTGAACAATAGATGACAGCTTACAGATGAAAAATGGTAAGTTCTATTCCAAGCCTGGAACAGAATGACTTTTGATGGATCCAATTCATTCAAATGACAACCGAGTTCAGTTTACTAGCAGAAGAGTTAGACAACATGCAGTTTTGAGTTATGATCGACTATATAACTTTTTTTAACACAAGAAATGCGTCTGGGAGAAACTCATACCAATGGCATTGGAGTGGGTTCTCTAAGATAACCAAAGGAATTACAGGACAAGCTTCCAACCATCTAAGCAGAATTAGGTAAACATGCATACTTAGATGCCCAGGAAATGTAACCTCGAACAAAGCACCCTGGAATTTCCAATGCATGCATTGTACGTTTTCATCTATGCCTAGGCAAGCCAAACTGCCACTGCAAAGCCATTTTGTCAATCATTCATTGAAACAAATTCTTCCCAGATAGAAGCTTGCCTAGGCCCTACTAGCAGAGAAAGAAAAAGATACACAGAATCATTCATTTATGTCTTTTCCACAGATACGCAGAAAAGCAGTGCCAAATATTTGGTCACCAAATAACACTTTGGCCACCAAAGGCCACACAGTACCAAAAAGAAAATTTCGTACTGTATAGCATCCAATATATGAATCTGTTTATGTAAGTCTTTTTGCATGTCTTTCAAACCTAAAATTCCTAACTAATCACAATAAAGAGAAGAAAAAAATTTCCTCTATATCCCTTGCCATAGCCATTAATTTACATATTCATCTTGAAAGACTTACATTTTCCCCTTTTGGTGGGCACCAAAGTAAGATTGTCATTAGAGGAACCAAATTGAATTGACATCTCTTTATTCTTAGTTGACAGTAGAATGTACACATCTCCTTTCTTGACATTTTCTAATTATATGAATATTTTTTAATTCAGTAATATTTTACTTGCTCTTTCGTCTTTCGTCTTTCGTCTTTCTTCCACTTCTTAGCTGTTCTCTTTCTTCCATTTTTTCCCTAATACCTCCATTAATCAACTGATGAAGCAACGAGATGATACAACAGAAGTTTGCTAACTTACATACTCTTGGGTTTGTTCCTTAGTCAAGAGGTTTGACTGCATTTAGATGAATTGATATAAAAACATGGTAGCACTAGTAGGAAGTTAGGATACAACTTGGTAAGGATTGATTTGCAATGATACATGAAAAATATTCTCCAAAAGTATAATATCAAGAAAAAGGTAGGCACTGGAGAGAAAAAAAACCATTGGAATTGTGAACTTCAAAATTAATGACTAATTGAAGTGCCATTGAAACCTCTGCAACATTGTTAGGACATATGGAAAAGATCAAGGTATTAAATTGATATCATCTCAGAAGTAGGACAGGGGAACATAAAAGAAAGGGTGCAACACCAACCTATCTCCACCCCCAACCACGCAAAACACAAGCATGTCCATAGAAGATCTTACATCCCCTTGCTTAGAACCATTTCAATTACAGAAACTACAGTAATGAGTAATTCAATAACAATATTTATCACAGATTTCCACTTATTTTTCTCATTTCTCGTTTCAAAACCTTTCATTTTTAACTACTCGGGAATGAATCATTATATATTTCTTCACTATAGATGAATATGATGCTCATTAAAGCTAGCACCAAAGGCAAGATGGAGTGCTAGTGCCTGAAAGCCTTCTACTTTTAACTATTTTGGTTCCAGATAAAGAGAGCAAACTCAAGCTTTCCAAGTGGTTAAGAAAACTGCACCAATCCCTTCAGCACTTCAGGCCTTAAAAAGAAGAAGTCAATGTACTGCTAAAGATCTCGTAATTTAATACATTGTTCCTATGCATCCCCATCACTACTTATATTTGGACGTGAACCAAAATTGGCTAGTCAATCATCGCCTCAATATGTACAGGACTTGTCCAGCACGAGTGACTTTCCATATGTGACATAGTCCCAACAGATACTTCAATTGGGTGTCAAACAAATTGGAAAGCAAGACAAGCTATGGAAGCACCAAAGGAAGTACTCAAAGAAAGTAGCTGCCTATACATCAATACAGGACACACTGGAAATGCACATTTTTGGCCTAGACACATCTCCATAAACATGGATGCTTCAATGAGAATCGCAAAGCAAGAAAAGCAAACCCAATAATATTCAAAAGCAGTAGCAAATAATAAAGATGACAAAAACTACTTAATACGGAGATAACCATTATATCAAGCACTCTCCCTAATGGAAAGTAACAATGACTAAACAGTTGCTTTCATCCATAGATCTTGAGGTCCCTCACACCAAATCCACATTTTTTTCTGGGTACAAATTGAAGAAATCAATGTCTGTCTCACTATATGTGTGTGTGTAAATAGTAACTGAAGCTCTACGCAAAAAAAAAAAAAAAAGGAGAGCCACCGACACATATATTGTTCAGATCTCAATGAATTACTATTCCCAGTGATTCAGAATGTGGGTATAGAATATATAGATTGCAAAGTGCTTCGATATTGAAATCATGAACTATAATTAGTAAATCAGAACAAGTTACTGCTTAGATTTCATACCCAGATGTTTCAAATGTTAAGGTAAGACCAAATAGCATACTAAATTGAAGAGATCTGGGCAGATCTGGAGAGAAATACCTTGGGGAATGGTTAGCAAAGGCTGAGAAGAACAATCGCAGGAGCAAGGTGGGCAAGAAGCAGAGGAAGAAGAGCGGCTCACAGCGGCCAAGGNGCAGATCTGGAGAGAAATACCTTGGGGAATGGTTAGCAAAGGCTGAGAAGAACAATCACAGGAGCAAGGTGGGCAAGAAGCAGAGGAAGAAGAGCGGCTCACAGCGGCCAAGCCTTCCGTTAAATGCCAGTACAAAGGTGGACCCAATATGTACCCGGCCAAGCACAGTGCCATCAAACCCAATCCTGCCTTTAACACTCTCGGAGTACATGATCCAGGCTGATTCAATGCCATCTCTCTCTCTCTCACTATATCTGTATCGAAGATTTAGTTAGACTGGTAGGAGCAAAAATGATCAGAGTCAGAAGGGGAAAGCTAATGATGGGGAGGGACGAGTGACAAATATACAAAAATTGATGCCGTTTCTGCATTTACTCTCTCTCTTTCTTGTTAACAACTTTTAACAGTCGTAGCATGGTGGGAAATTTTCTTCCCGGAACATTTTTGTGAGAAATTTGAGCTGTGATCTGCTACACACATACATTGTTCGAAATTTTATTATGGGAACGTAATAGAAAAGAAGAGTGGGATATAGGGTAAAATTCTTTCAACCCATGGCCTCAGGTTATTGTGCACATTACCCGTTGTCGTTTCAAAATACNCTGCTACACACATACATTGTTCGAAATTTTATTATGGGAACGTAATAGAAAAGAAGATTGGGATATAGGGTAAAATTCTTTCAACCCATGGCCTCAGGTTATTGTGCACATTACCCGTTGTCGTTTCAAAATATGGATATAATCTCTTTACATTATAATCTATATAATAAAATATAATTTAAATATTAAAAAATAAATAAAATAACTTTTATTTTTTACAGTTAAGATTTTTTTTAATTTTATTTTAAAATTAATCTGACGGCTAGGACTGTTAGTCAAAGGAGTCCGAATCAAGTTCGAGTCGAGTTTGAAAAACCTATTTCTTAATCGAGCTTTAAAATTTGTTTAAGTTCGGCTCGTTTAGAAAACGAGCGAAACTTGAACAAGCCGAACTTTTCGAATTTGAGCTGAACTTGTAGGGTTTGTTTTCTAAACGAGCCTAAAAACTTGTTAAAGTTCGGGCTCGTTTAGAAAACGAACCGTGAACGAGCCAAATTTAAGTCAAACTCGAATAGTTTAGTTTGATTAACAACCCTACTGACGGTTAATATTAACACCCCAAATTTAATAGATAAAATAATCTCCTAAGGGTATGTTTTAAATATTTTTTTAAAAGTGTTTCTATAACTTATAACTTCTAATAATATATATATTTTTTTAAAAATAGTGTTTGAAACCCCAACCCCCACCACCACCACCACCTTTCCCACTACAACCACCCTAACCCCCACCATCGTCATCACCATCTCAACACCACCACCACCACCATTACTGTCGCCACCCTACCACCACTACCCCCACTATCTCACCACCATCATTGCCACTGCCCTACTGCCACTATCACCCCATCGTCGCCCCTACCCCACCATTGTCACTACCCCACTACCGATTGTTATTACCGTTGTCCATCGCCATCAGCTACCAGCATAATCATCTTATTCTTATATTTATTATCACTACCACTATCATCCACTGTCAACACCCACCATCACCATTATTGCCCATCACCACCCACTACCACAACCCACCACCACTTATTATCGCCCATTATCGCCGCCAAGCCATTATCACCCATCCCCGACCACACTTACCACCAACACCACCATCACCACCATTTGTCACAACTTATTACATTGTCGTCCAGAAACACCTGTCAGCGCCCATCACCACCATTGTCACCGCCCACCACCACTACCAATCACCATTACCGTCACCCCACCACCACCCACACCCACACCACCCATCACCACTACCACCATCACTCATGACTGTCTCTACCACTATTATCACCAAAAACTCACCACACCATCATTGTTGTCACCCACAATTGTCACCATTACCATGATTATCACCATCCATCACAAACCATCACCATCTCTTACCATCATCACTACCGCCATTCATCCCCACTACAGCATGTGTTTAAATTCTTTTCTTCTCTCCTCTATGTTATTGATTTGATTTTAAATGTGAATACAAATATATTTATTGTTAAACATTTTTTTTATTACTTTATACCTTCATGCATAAGTAATATCTAGTCTCCTTATATCATTGGATTAAACTATAGTTGTTACAAATTCAGTTAATTTGGATGGATTTTGTGATTATATGCACGCAACTTAAGAGCGGGGATGAAAAATTTTAGGTCAAAGTCAATCTTTAATATAAAATGACAAAGATGTCTTTAAAATTTTAAAAAATCCCTCCACTCTTATTCATTTTATCTCTCTCTCTCTCCCCCTCAGTGTGCCTTTATCTCTTTGCCTCTCTTTATGTACAAATATATGGAACTGCAAAATGGGTTGCGGTTGCAGTTGCGGTGGTGTTTTAGTGATTGAAGTAAAGAAGAATGAGAAGAATAGATGATGTTGAGAGTAAAAATGTATTTTTATGACTGCTATTAACAATGTTAGCAATTCATTTTAGTCTAATAACATAAAAGAGTTATGTGAATATTTTGAAACGACAAGGGGGTGATGTGTATAATAACTCAACCACAAGGAGATTAAAAGAATTTGTCCCTAAAATATGACACGCCCCTAATACTTGACACCACAATTTTCGATTCAAATCTATATTAATTTTTTATTTTTGAAGAATAAATTTCTAATAATCTGGATCTCAAAAGATTACCAAAATTCAAATTTGTAACGTTTAGATATATAACTCGTCCTATCAAAACTTCATCATTTCTATCACAATCCCCACATGCTACAGAAATTAAAAATTGCTTCACTACTTTTAGGCAACCAATGAAGTCAATATTTCAGGTGTACAACGTCTAATTTTATGACCAAAGTCTCAAAGCCAATTAGGTTCATTTGCAGAAATGAAAGAAGACAAGTGCTAGAGCCCCTGACTTAAAGATAACAGATGATGGAATTCCATACTTTCCTCTCCCAAACAATCCTCTAAAAAATGACCAAAAGCATAGCACCACCCACACACTGCATATGACCTCCCCTATCCCAAACCCATTTTCACCACGAGCCACTGGCCGGAAACCAAACAGTCCGATGACCAACGCCGCCAAGTTCACCAGCAAAATGGCGATGCCGGGCACAAAAATTGGGGACTCATCAAATGTGAACCTTCCGGCCTCATCATTATTGTCAGCAGTGGTAGCTGTTTGATCTTTCTTTGTAACTTCAAAGGTAGTCTTGGATAATCCTACAAACTTGAGTATAACATCGACGAATCCGAAAAACCATGCTGTCATGGTTATGACTCTCAACATTCTATGGTTGTTCCACCATGCACGGGCTGACAAGTTTATTCGTAGGTACTCTGATAGAGAGTATAAGTTGAAGATGACAAAGATGGTAATAGGAATGAGTATTGCTTTTTCGTGGACCTGCATGTACGAAATGTTAAGAAGTAATAGGAGTGAATGAGATAATGTTATGGTTATTTTTGGCCCTGATCATCTACCATGTTCATGTATTGATACAATTACCATCGTTTAACAATCAAATAAGAAAAAAATAATAATCGATGATGATCATACATTGTTTGTCTCGTTTAAATGTGTCAAATGAAGTCGTATCGTGATAGATTCAGATGGTGCGAACGCCTTATCCAAGAAGTTACCCATCTAAAGCTAACTCGTTGTACCGCTAATTCTATAAAAACAACACAAAATAGGCATTTTTTTATATAATACCAACTAAATGGATTTATTATCATATTTGATGATATGTTATTCAAGTTAATTGATCCTGTTATTCCCAGGTTCGAGTGTTTGAGTTCGAGTCCTGTAATGGTTTGTACAGAAAAGAGAACTATCAACAACATGAGCACATAAAATAATAAATTCGGAGTAATGTTATTGGACCTAATTTATTGACTTAATGATGTGATTTTATTGTAACTACCAGATTAACAAGACATTTTCACATTTGATAGGGTCTACATTCAATCTACAGGTTATAGTGAATTAATTTAACAAATTAGGTCCCAATAACATTGTCCTAAAATTCAAGGGTTGCGATTTGTTCGTACCTTGGGCAAGAATTGTGAGTTGGAGATAATACAATAAGCCGGCAAAGCAGCGTAACAAAGCTCTGGAATGGATCGTAGAGCCCATATGAGAATCCATATATAGGCCAGACACTGCCTGAACTGGAGCTCACCTTTGAATGTAGCAATTATCGGGCTTTTTGGGCCAAAGAGAATATCAAGAAGCCCAGTGGACCACCTCTTCTGTTGGATCAATGAGACTGGCCCACTAGAGGGTACACTCCCAAGAAAAGCAGTTGGATCGGGCGTTAAATAGACGGATCTCCAATCCCTCGTATGGATAGTAAGCCCAGTTAGCAAGTCTTCTACTGCAGATCCATACATCCAACCAACCTGAAAGGTGGCCATAGCCATTGTGGTTTATAGAATATATAGATAAACTAGCAATAATCCCATGTTTAAAGACACTCTATAATACTAAAAATCGAATATTGATCATACAATATTTATATTTTGAATAATAATTTATTTTTTAAATTATAGAATTTAAAATTAAAGTAAACATATCAAAAATAAGAGAGAGAAAAGAGATAATTCAAAAATTTATTTTTTTTAGTGCATGTACGGTGTAATATATCAGACATATATTAAATGTATAAATAAGTTGATATTTATCTTAAGCACTAGTCTAAACCTGAGTTTAAACTTAGACACAAGCTCAACCTCGGATAATTTAAGCATTCGAGCCAACCAAAAATCAATGAGTTAGAGGATGAAGCTCGTTACAATTGCAAACGAATGAGGCCAAGCTAGAACAGTTTAACACACGTCTTGATTGTTTCATTTGCATCTCTTGTTATAATTGTCTCTCACCTTTTCACCCCACCCGCTGCCATATTCATATCCACAGCCTGCAACTTGATATGCTGCCTCAGTAGAACTTGATAAACCAGCTGCTCTCTCTGTCTTTATGTTTGATCCACAGATAATCTGAGCTGCTGATTTGGAGAACTCCATTGACTTTCCAAATGTTTTCTGCAACTTCTCATCACTCAATTCCCCTGAAAATCCAAAAAATAAAACCGGAGTAATTTTACTGTTTTCTTCACTTAAGTGTGGACAGAAAAATTCATGTTTTGCAAGAAAAACAAGAAGAAAGTACTTAGAGAAAAGTGAAAGTTTTACACAGCTAAAGTTGATTCACATACCGCTAGCTACTTTATCATCCGGTGATAAACCATATATAACTTTTCTTCTGTGAAAACATCCTGTTCCTTCATAGAATGGCCCTTGAATCCCCGTGATTCCATGCACCATATACTGAGTTAGACATATCAAGAAAGTATTGGGTCAATTTGTGATTTAAGTGTAAGTTTTGTGTATCAGTGATATTTTCTCATCAAAAACATTGGTAAAAATGACAGGGTTAAGTAAACAGAAATAAATTCTTTACAAGCAAGTCTATAAAACAAATGTTTACGGGCAAGCAATTTGATAACTACACTAACTTATTGAGATTTCTCAATATTAGTTTGTGTGTTTGTATAAGTAAACTTTTTAAATTTACACCGAGTCTTAGTGTCCTTAGTTTTTTTTTTTTTTTTTGTCAGTTTCATGCTTCAACTTTTCAGTGAGTTCTAATTCAATTCAACCAATGATAAAATGTAAAAAAATAAAACATAAAAAAAAATGTGAGGAAAAATATTAAAGCAATGCTACATGGACTTAAAAATACAAAATAAATTTATCGATCTAATCAATCATTGTCATTGATTTAACTATAACTCTTAATATTTATTGAGACATACAACCAATTCAATGATTGTGATTGATTAGATCAAATATTTTATGTTCAAATAACTTCATCATTGTTGGTATGCATCACATGATATACACATGCATGCCTTTTTCTATCAAATGTTAATAAAAAATTTTATAAAAACACTTGGAGAAACAATGTGGGTGTCAGAGTGAAAGAAAGCTTAAGCATAGAAAGTGTAAAATTTTATGCATGTTTTTGGCAAATTTTTTAGGGTTAATAGTATTTTTAATTCCTAAAATACCTCCGTTTTATCAGTTTGATACTCATTGTATTAATTTTGTTAATTTAGTTCATAATCAGACAATTCGTTAAGTTTTTTAACTGAAATGACTACGTATCATTCTTTCAGATAGTATCGCGTGTCAAATACGTGATTATTCTGACAAAAGTTTAACGGTCCGTCAGTGTAAGGACTATTTAAACACAATTTAAATACTTTAAGGATCAAATTGATAAAATTAATACTTTATGAACAAAACCGATAAAACCTGCATACATTAGGGACTAAAAGTGTTATTAAAGCAAAAAATTACGAGTAAAGGTGCTTGAATCAAATTTATTGACTTAATTTACAGATCTAATTACTCGCAACCATTGGATTGACAATGAGTCTCAGTATTAGTTAAGACCCGCTATCAATTCAGTAGTTGTGATGATTTAGATTGACAAATTATGTTTAACAAATTAGCTCTGAATCATGTTATTGAAATTTTACGTACTTCTTGCAAAACCACCATCTGATTTCCAAATGGATCATCCTTGAGTCCATCATGGAAGTGTTGTGGAGATTGAACAAAGGCACAGTCTCTTTCGTCCTTGAAACCAAGCAGCAGACACATTGCATGAAGAACAATTTGTGGATTGTTGGCATACATATCACAGTCTACGTTCAGCATGAATGGAGCATTTGTCATCACTCCGGATACTCTCGTCTGTTTCATAACCCCATTTGGGTCAGGTTACGGTACAAATAAATCAAATTTACACTTCAATAGGGTTTAAGAAATTGGGATTAATCTATACAATTATCGATTCAATTGAATCATAATCAAACATGATTGAATCGTAAGTTATTTTATGATATTGGTAACTTAGTAGGAATGATTGTAGAATTGTTTGTATAGTTAAAAAAAATAAATAAATCACTTGGTATGAAGGGCTTTTCGCACTCTATACCTTGAAAGATTTTAAGTTTTTTATTTTGTATCATTAAAGATTAAAATTTTCATATATTACACTCTCAATGCTTCAAAAACGTTGCAATGTGATTTTTCTGTTAGCTTTCGTTATTTTTTCTTTCAAAAGTTAATCTATTGACATTGATGAAAAAATTAACAGAAAGTTAACAAAAGGACCACGGTACAACACTTTTGATATATTGAAGGTATAAAATGAGAAATTTAATTTTTAAGGGTACAAAATAAAAAATTTGAAATCTTATAGGGTACACAATGAAATTCGCCCAAGTATGAATGTAGACAGAAATACTACAAAAAATAACTAAAAAAGAAACTTTTGAGGTGTATCTAAAAACAAGTTCTTTGTACCTTCTTTGCCCCCACTAAGAATTTACTAACAAGTTACAAGAAAATTTGTTGATACAACAAAGAGGGCGAAGACTTAGAGTAATATCGAAGAACTTCTTAAGAAATCTTCTTCAATAATTTTGATTTTGAGAGAGAATTAAATCACTATATAAATTTGAGGTCTCTTTTTATATATATTTTTTTTCCTAATAGTAACAACTTTTTAAAATATTTGCAATCATCCCATCAAACTATATATCGAATTAAAAAGATTGTCTTGTTTATATATTAGGGATAACCTGTGCATAGAGTGCATAGAAGAATAGTACAATACGAATGATTTTGAAAACAATATTGATAATCGTTAAATAAATATGTTTGAAATCGTCGAATGAATTTATTAAAATTTATTTTATTTTATATTATAAATTATAGACGGTAAGAACTAACCAAAACATTCATTGCACCAGCCTTGAAATGATGTGGATGCTTTGGCCCCTTCTCTCGGGAGATGTAGACCAGACGAGTGAAACCATTCCGTACACCTTCCTTGTCCCATAGAACCTGAAAAAAAATCATTTTAAATACCTAAAAAAAACACGTGCCAAATCCTGTTATAAGCTCTATTTAATGATCATAGCTAGAAAGATGGATTGCCTAAGGGCGGAATCAGGATTTTATTTCGGTGGGACCCAACAAAAACAATTTGTTGATAGCTTTTAAAGTTCTAAATTATTTTTTCAAACTTATTTGACCACTTTAAGTAGGGAAAAATATTATTTCAATCTAGTTTGTTGTCTTAATGCATTATAATTATTGAATTTAATAGCAAATATTAACCAATAATAAAACTCATTGTCAATCTAATAATAAAAAATAATTTAGATCAGTAAATAAATAAGATTAATAATTTTTTTTTTTAAATATGTAATTCTTGTCCTCAAGCCAAGTTCCTCTGCCTCATCTCCTGCGCCGTTACAATTTTTTGGTATCATACGGCCACTTTTCATTAAAGTGTAAACATGACATGTGACATTGGTATTTGAAATTAATAACTCTAAATCATCAAGATCAATATCAACAAGTGGTTTACACGAACCCGACTCGATATAATTAAAAAATAATGTGATTAATGAACACAAATAATAAATAGATTAAATTAAGATTCGATATTAATAATACGATTAATGGGACTGTAGATAGAAAATAAATATTTAACGAGTATTATAGACAAAAATTAAAAATTTTATAATTCTTTTTAATCTTTTAAATAGTATTATATAAGTTATATTGTAGAATTAAATAATTTTTTATTAACACAAACTCAACACGTACTGAAATTAATCCGACACAAAAATAACACAATCGAAAATAACACGACACAAAAATGACATGATTAACACCAATAAATTTTGGTATGATGCCAACTAATTTGTAATTTGTGTCGGACTGCCAATTTACATGCATATATTGGGTGTAACTCTTGCCTAAAGACACGATACAATGTGAATAGTTTTGAGAATGATGATAATGATCATTGAATGCGTCTATTTGATATCATCGGATAGACTTACTGAAACTTGTCATATTTTATATTATAAAANAATGATGATAATGACCATTGAATGCGTCTATTTGATATCGTCGGATAGACTTATTGAAACTTGTCATATTTTATATTATAGACTATGAGTCTATTTGATACCATCGGATAGAATTATTAAAACTTGTCATATTTTATACTGTAGCCTATGGGTAATTTGTTCTTAAAGGTACAATATAATTTAAATAATTTTGAAAATAATGTTAGTAAACGTTCAATTTATTTAAAATCGTCGAATAAAGTTATAAAAATTTATNATCGTTAAATAAATATGTTTGAAATCGTCGAATGAATTTATTAAAATTTATTTTATTTTATATTATAAATTATAGACGGTAAGAACTAACCAAAACATTCATTGCACCAGCCTTGAAATGATGTGGATGCTTTGGCCCCTTCTCTCGGGAGATGTAGACCAGACGAGTGAAACCATTCCGTACACCTTCCTTGTCCCATAGAACCTGAAAAAAAATCATTTTAAATACCTAAAAAAAACACGTGCCAAATCCTGTTATAAGCTCTATTTAATGATCATAGCTAGAAAGATGGATTGCCTAAGGGCGGAATCAGGATTTTATTTCGGTGGGACCCAACAAAAACAATTTGTTGATAGCTTTTAAAGTTCTAAATTATTTTTTCAAACTTATTTGACCACTTTAAGTAGGGAAAAATATTATTTCAATCTAGTTTGTTGTCTTAATGCATTATAATTATTGAATTTAATAGCAAATATTAACCAATAATAAAACTCATTGTCAATCTAATAATAAAAAATAATTTAGATCAGTAAATAAATAAGATTAATAATTTTTTTTTTTAAATATGTAATTCTTGTCCTCAAGCCAAGTTCCTCTGCCTCATCTCCTGCGCCGTTACAATTTTTTGGTATCATACGGCCACTTTTCATTAAAGTGTAAACATGACATGTGACATTGGTATTTGAAATTAATAACTCTAAATCATCAAGATCAATATCAACAAGTGGTTTACACGAACCCGACTCGATATAATTAAAAAATAATGTGATTAATGAACACAAATAATAAATAGATTAAATTAAGATTCGATATTAATAATACGATTAACGGGACTGTAGATAGAAAATAAATATTTAACGAGTATTGTAGACAAAAATTAAAAATTTTATAATTCTTTTTAATCTTTTAAATAGTATTATATAAATTATTGTAGAATTAAATAATTTTTTATTAACACAAACTCAACACGTACCGAAATTAATCCGACACAAAAATGACATGATTAACACCAATAAATTTTGGTATGATGCCAACTAATTTGTAATTTGTGCCGGACTGCCAATTTACATGCATATATTGGGTGTAACTCTTACCTAAAGACACGATACAATGTGAATAGTTTTGAGAATGATGATAATGACCATTGAATGCGTCTATTTGATATCGTCGGATAGACTTATTGAAACTTGTCATATTTTATATTATAGACNTTGAGAATGATGATAATGATCATTGAATGCGTCTATTTGATATCATCGGATAGACTTACTGAAACTTGTCATATTTTATATTATAAAATATGAGTCTATTTGATACCATCGGATAGAATTATTAAAACTTGTCATATTTTATACTGTAGCCTATGGGTAATTTGTTCTTAAAGGTACAATATAATTTAAATAATTTTGAAAATAATGTTAGTAAACGTTAAATCTATTTAAAATCGTCGAATAAAGTTATAAAAATTTACCCAATTTTATTTTATAGATCGAAAATAATGAAAGTACCTTTATTATAGTTGGATGATTGTTGTTCTCATTATTTGAAAAAGCTGCAAATTCGCCGGCAAAATCCCATGCCTCTGATCTTTGAGTTGCGTCTTCAATCTTTTGGCAAAGCTGTTCATATTCAACCTACAAAACAAGAAGACAAAACGTACGTCATTGATTTACCTATAACACTACCGTTTCAAGGTAAGCATGAATTGTGAGTAATTATAGGTATTTTGAATTTACTATGTAACTTCAATATCAAAGAACCAATGTGTGGAGCGGTTTTCAGAGGTAACAAATTTAGCTGTGTTGAAAGAGTCTTTGAACAAGTTTTGATGTGCTCAAACTCAACTTGTAATTTTTAAGGTCCGTTTAAGTTCGGTTCGAACAAGGGTGTTTAGCTTAAAATTTTGTTTAAGCTCGACCAATTTAAAGAATGAGTCATTCCAGCTCAATTTATTTTATTATTAATATGAGTTTAAGATCAAACTCACGTGAGTCAATGGATTATGAGCAATGGCGAAGCCAAGAATGTATTCTTAGTGGGCACACTTTATTAGCACAATTTAATTTTTTTCTCCGATCAATAAAAGTATTGTGGTATATGTTTTACCATGGCCTGCTTATAAAACAATTAACCAACATCTCAATTTTAAAAAATTATAACAATTTCAAACAATTATGAATACTATAAGATTGAGAGTTATCAAAAAAGAAAAAAATATAGGTTCAATCACTAGTCGTAACTTTTTAACATATTTTCACATTTCTTTGAGTGAAAAATGTGCTTGATTATTTTTTTACACAAAATTCAAATTTATTAGAATGGGTTCAATATTTTTGGTTTTTGGCCGGAAGGGTGGGCCTAATTCCAACTACCCAATAAAAAAGGACAAAAATTTTAAATTTTTTTTTGAGGTGGGCATGTTCCCCTCCCACCCCGGGGCGGTCCCTATGTTATTGACAGACAATAAATAATTGGAAGAGATTTATGAATTGAAACCCTGTGAAAAAAGAAAAGCCAAGCTTATGTGACCTAACCGAATAACTCGAGATCGACTAACAAAAAGTGTAATAAACCAAATGAAAAATAGGAGCAAAGAGAACCTTCAAGAATTGGTGCTTGAGATTAGTGGGGAAATTATAAAATTACCTTTATATTTTTCCATTCTTCTTGAAATGAGCTATCTTTGGAAGATAAGGGCTTGCCAGTGAAGTATCGGAAGGGAGCTCTAACATGAATGTTATGTTTCTTACAAAAAGGAACCCAAAGCTTAGCAAACTTGGATGCTTCCACGAGAGAGTAGAAGGTGAGAGGCGAACCACTATCGTCGGAGACATAGCAAGCCAACTTGTTCGCCGGATAATCGACTGCTAACAAGGNACTTGGCATCCGCTCTGCTCTCAAGCAAGTAGTCTATACCTCAAGTATAATAACTCTCTCATGGGTCGCCAAAAACTCAGTTTCAAAAAGTGTAGCTCTCTCACGAGCAATCCTCAAACTCTGTCTTGCTCTCGCGTAAGCAGTCTGTCTCTCTCTTTAGGTAATCATGTTAAATATTTTAATATTTGAAATAACATTATTTTTGTCATCATAAGCAGGTTTACCCATCTCAGCTCGATGACATAGAACCGTTGGGGGATGTGATAAGCAGAAATAATCCTTAGAATATCATAGAAGAATTTGATTTTGAGAAGGTGCACTGAGAGGAGCTGGACCATCACTACTGAAAGTGTTTGCCAAACTCTGCCCTCGAGCTCCAGAACTAGGCTGGCAAAGAAATTCCTGAGCAACCCCGCCTGCATGGGCGAGAACTGAACTCCCTACAGGGGCATCCAAAGCTCCTTGGCTACCTGAACTCCTTGAATCATCACCAAAAGTGGCACCCAAAATTTTTTTGTAGCTTGCACTACTCAACCCAGTTCCTAGAGAGGCGTCTGATCCCCTCTGCTTGCCCAAATGGGCAGCCCAGTGCTTAGAGAGGTGTCTGGGCCCCTTTGCTCGTACAAGCGAAAGTAGTCCTGCAGACGCCCAACAATTTGTGCTCGCCCAAAATGGTGCCTCTTGGTGCCTTCATGCCAAGACCAGTCTTTTTTCCACCTCCCTGCCCACTAGGATCAGGGCCCCTAGGCGCTTGATGGACCAGATTAGCACGCCCAGCGTGTAGGCCAGCATGCATGAAGACTTAAGCAGCCCTCTCACCTACTGCACGAACTGTAGCAACGCACAGCGATGCCGCCTGCTCGCCCAGGCCCTTCTCGGCGCCTGCCTTCCCATCTCCACGCCAGACCACCCCTCCTACCCGAGCAGGCTGCTCCTCAAGACGACTTGAAGTGCCGCTTAGGCAATTCTCCAACTCACTCAAGGCCTCTTACTCGCCCAAGTTCCTCAAGTCAGTACCCTAAAAGGTGCCCAAGGCCTTTTGCTCACCCAAAACAGCGTGCCCAATTGCATGGTTGTCAAGAGCAGTGCCTACTCGCCCAAAACTGCGCGCCAGCACGTTTGCTCGCTATTTTAGTCATAAATTTTACTACGTAAGTCAAAATGGGACATATTATATATCAAATTGAAACTCTCAACAAGCTGAACAAAACTCATTACCAATGGTAATGAGCTTTCCAAAAAAAGTTCAAAAAACGTCCAAAAAGAGGTGTTTTGGCCTCCCAAAGTTTTTTAAAAAAAAAAAAAAATTTGCTCTAGGAGGTTGTATACTCGCCCAAGAGGTGGCTTGCTCGCCAAGGAGGTGGCCTGCTCGCCCAAAAGTTGATTGTTCGCCCAAAAACATGCCCTTAGCTCCCTGCTCGCTATTTTGACCGTAACTTTTGGTTTGTAACTCAAAATGGGGCTTATTATATACTAAATCGAAACTCTCGACGAGCTGAGCAAAACTCATTATTTTTAGTAATGAGCTTTTAAAAAAAAGTCCAAAACACGTTCAGAAAAAGGTGTTTTGGCCTCCCAAAATTTAAAAAAAAAAAAAAAAATTCCTGCTCGCCCAGAACAGTGCTTTGCTCACCTGGATAGCTGCCTGCTCGCCCAAGTTGCTTGCCTAGCTCACTGCTCGAAATTTTGGCAGTAACTTTTATTCTATTGCTTGAAATAAGACTTATAATATATCAAATCAAAACTCTCGGCGAGCCCTACAATACTCATAGCCTATGGTTGTGAATGATGCTGTTAAAAATCCAAAAAAGGCCTATAAACGGACGTTTTGGTCTCCCAAATTTTTTTCAGTTATGCTGGTCAGCCGAAAATTCAAATTCAACTTAAATGTCCTCTTTTTCAAATTCTGTTGGACACAGGGCATTGGGGGGCAAATGATGGGCCAGGCCTAAAGGCCCAACCCATGTTATAAGCCTAGTCCGAGCTAAATGCCCAAATTCCAAGAGATCTAGTTAGTCAAGCCCAAAGGAGTCTACACCTAGATAACCTTATCAAGATCAAGGAGTTACATCAGTAGGGGAGCATGCACAGTCATCCAAGAGCCTCCTCTACCACCTTGGAGTAAGGGTCATCCAAGAGCCTCCTCTACTACCTTGGAGTAAGGGTCATCCAAGAGCCTACTCTACCACCTTGAAGTAAGGGTCATCCAAAAACCTCCTTTATGCCACCAATGGAGTATCCAGTAGTCTTACCCTCGCAGCCTGGAGAGAGTCNGTAAAAATAATTACTACTAATGTGGTAAAAATAGTTGCAAAAATAATAAATTTTTTATTATAAAATAATTCATTAAAATTATAAAAATATATATATTAAAGTGATAAATTAAAAATACAGTAATAAAATTATTTCTTTCGTACCATAGTCAAGTCTCAATTCACTGTACCTGATTAAAGAGGTTTGTCTTGTCTTGTTGATGTGATGTTGGTGACCCGTGAGGAAGATACCCCACGTTGTAAGTTACTCATTGTCCTACTTATATCACTAGGTTACACTAAAAAAAATTTAAAAAAAAAATTGGATTTTAGTGCATAAACTATTGTTGTTAAATGCATAAAAATTATTATTACATATTTTAGTGACAAATATTTTATTGACACTAAACTGTGATGACATGTGCCATGATTAATGAAGATACACAAAATAATTTTGTACAAGATCAATAGTCGAGTGTGTAATAGAGTGTAATTAATAAAAATAAATAAAATAATTATGACAGTAATGTAAAATATTGAGTTAACACAAAGATATATAGTGGTTCAGCTCAAATGATCTACTCTACTCTCGGAAACGACAACAGTGGCGAAGAGTTTTTATTGATGAAATAAAGTAAATAGGAGACAGAGCAATTGTTAGCTCTGAGAGATATACAATAATTAAGAGAGAGAAAAGTTTTATGTATGTAGAGAGGTGTAGAGGTAGAACTCAATGTGTCATCTCATTGAGAGATAATTTACAATTTATAGGCATTGAGCTTTTGTTGAGGTGGTGATGTGAGAGTAAAAACACTAGTTTCTTGGGAGGATAGTTATAAAAGATAAATATAATTAAGGTAACATTGATCTTCGAGAGTGTGTATCTCGATAATCTCTCTCCTACGTACACTTTTCTTCATAAACTCCTTCGACCTTGGGTTGGATTGAATTGATTAACTGAAATTGACCTGTCTTTTAACTAATTCAAACTTACGTGGTTTATTGGGCTAGGCTCAGTTAGATTTGCGCTGGTCAACTAAATCTTTTAATAATCATATTTTAAAAATTGCCACTAAAAACTAAACATTTAGCTGCAATATGAATAATGACATTAACTATGTATATGATTTACCCGTGACTATTATTACATCTAATCAATGTTTTTGTTATGAATAATGTAATGTTTTTGTTTTTATATATATTTTTTTCTAAAAAGAACAAGTTTTTGTTTTTTTGTGATAAAAATTAAAAATATAAAACATGTTTGGTAGTCATTTATATTTAAAATATTATAAAAATTAAAAAAAAAACATATTTAGTATTATATATTTTATTGATATTATTTTGGCTAATATTTTGATCATAAATACCTCAATTGGTGATCTCTCAATTGGAGATATGTTCTTTGTGATAAAAATAAAAAAATAAAAATTGGAGATCTCAACAAAAACACACATTCGCTGGTGAAATTCTCTCGCTGAGACACACACAAATTTTATATACAACACACACAAAAACACAAATAAACACACACATGTAGATCTATGTGATGGGCCAGGCCCAACCTATGTTATAAGTTTAGTTCGAGCTAAAGGCACAATTCCAAGAGATTCAGCTAGTCAAGTCCAAAGGAGTCTACACCCGGATAACTTTATCAAGTTCAAAGAGCTACATCAGCAGGGGAGCATGCACGGTCATCCAAGAGGCTCCTCTACGCCACCAAGGGAACATCTAAGAGCCTCACCCTTGTAGCCTGGAGAAAGTCAACCGCCCTCATCCTTGATCAAGTCCTTTGGAGGGCACACCAACCGTCACATCTCGCCCGTTGAGAAGATGATATATCGCCTCCGCCGGATTAGCTACCTAATTACTATCAAACGGTCCTAAGCCATAATGACCGTCAGAATAGTCATACAATTACTACGCCAAAACCACTATAAATTGTAAGCTCCTCTGACACTTGGGGGGCATCAGACTCATTTGGGCATAATTCTCTTATTCCCTCTCAAAGCTCGTAATCTTGTGCTCTCCCTCCACATCGAAGATAATAAAATTCTGACAAACCTAGTTATTCAAAGTGGATGTAGGTCACTGTCGAACCACTATAAATCTTATATTCTATTTCTTTCTCTCTACCTTCATTTCATGTTACTTAATTGACTAGTGGTGAGCAAACCGATTTTGTGCATCATCAGTTTTGACGCCGTCTGTGGAAACGATAATTCTCACCTAACCATTTTCCTTTGCTGAGTCAAAGTCGATCACCAACAGATCCATGAATCAGCCTGAAGATAACCCACCACCAAGAGAGAAGGAGGTTGTTTCTCAACCAACCAATCCTGCCCCAAATGAGCAGCAGATTCTTGAGACCATGTAGTAACTTGCGGCCTAGAACCAAAAGATCCTACAACTAATGTTCCTTGGGTGTCAAGGAGTTCTTCACATGGGCGTTCTTCATCTAAGAGGAGGAGCACAGTCTGGACCTCAAGTCAGAGGGGCTCCATGTCATGGACATCAAGGAGCTCCCCCATATGGGTGCTCCTCATCTAGGAGGAAAAGCACAACCTACACCTCAAGTCAGAGGAACTCCACGCCCTAGGCGTCAAGGAGCTCCCCATATGGGTGCTCCTCATCTGAGCGCCCCCTTTGGAACCCCTTCAAGCGCCCCGCACAGGGGAGCTCTTCACAAAGGGACCTCTAGCTCTTTCTTTTTATGGTGGAGACCTTCTTTTCCAAGAGGACGAGGGTGAAAATCAA